AAAAAAAAAAAAAAAAAAGGACATTTGAATAATAAAAAGGTTCTGAAGGAAACCCTATCTTTAATCCAGAAAGGGGAAACTGAATGGGTTTCAGCTCAATTCTTCTAATAGTAGGATGTTGTATGGTAAAGACTTCTTCCCTGTCTGTCTCCAGACAGAGTTGCAGAGATCTCTTAGATCCAGACATCATGAAGATTGAATGTGTGATGGAAGGTGACTTGCCTTCTTGGCTACATGTGTGTTTCCTCAGGTGGCCCTGTCTTCCTGCTATAGATTGACTGGAATGAGAAGCTTCTGTGAAGGTTTAAGCTACATCTGTAGACTGAGATGAAGCTACCAAGTAGACCTATGCAAGCAGTATTTCTAAACCACTTAGTTACGACTCTAAGGAAAAAGAATTCTTCATTTAAACATAGATTATTCTTTCCTTAAATTGCTCAGTAGTGTGTCCTGCTAGATTACATATTCATGGTACCACCACACAAGAATCAGATGAGTTAATTTTGTGCCTGTCAACAAGTTGCCACTGTCTTTTTCATCTGGACTACTATGGTAACCTAGTTAAACTGCCTGCTTCCACTCTTGCTCCCTTCCAAAATATTGTCCAGGTAACAGCTGGCATGATCTTTTTAAAACATAAATTGATGCGTGTTAGTGTTCTGCTTAAACTTCTTCAGTGGCTTTTCACTGAGCTTTAAATCCAAGCACTTCAGCATGGTTTACAAACCCTTCATAATGTAGCCTACCTTCTCTGCTCTCATTCGGTAACCTCTTGCTTCCTTGGAGGCACTTAAGTCCTGCTTAATGTACTGGCCTTATTAAAGTTTCTAACTTTCTTCACCTCAAGGGCTTCATACATGTCACAGTCACTTCCTGGAATGTTCTTTTCCCTAAACACCTTTTCCTTTGAGTCTCAGATTATAATTTATATCTAAACATAGACACACATACACACCCCATTATTTTTCTTTATAACCCTTACTTTCTGAGTGCATGTTTATTCATGTTTTTTATTTGCTTCATGAGGTCAGGTATCCCATCTGTTTCACCATTGTATGGCCAGCTTCTAGAACTGTGCCTGGAAAGTTGTAGGCACTGTTGAATAAGTTATTTGTACTTGGGGTTTGGGATATTAGTCTGGTTTACAAAAAATACCATTTTTCTAACAGTTAAAAACCTTTTTATAACAGTGTCTTAAATGTCTTGAGTTAATTGAATGAGAATTTTAAGTAGCTTCTAGAATTAGCCATATTTAGCAGAATTAAGACCAAATTTAATGGCTATGCTACCTCTTTTTAAACCATCTAAATTAATTTTTTCTGACAAGTGAGAAATTTTAGAAATATTTTAAATTACATAAGTAATATGCTTTTTACAGAAACTTCAGATAATACAAAAGTATAGAAGATCTTCCCTCACCTTTTCCCTAATCCAGTTCCCTAGAGATAACTGCTGTTACCAATTTGATATATATTGTGCCAAATATTTTCAAGGTACATACAGATTATTTTTAAATAAAATAAACTTAGATGATGTTGATAGACGTATAGATTACTGACATCAATTAATACTGAAATTATCATCCCTCTACATAGATTTTTTTCATTTTGTATATTTCTGTAGGATAGGTTCCTATAATGTAATTGCTAGATTGAAGAGTGTACCTGTTTTGAATATTGATAGATACTTCCAAATTGCCTCCCAAAGGTTATAGAAATTCATTTTCTGATAAAATATTTGTGGGTTTAATGCTTAGAGAATGTAATGTTTATTGTAGACACTATGACATCTAGAAGAGCACAAGGAAAATAAAAGTCACTTAATCCATCTCCTGGTGATAACCTTTTGTATCCTTGTAGCTTTTTTTTTTTTTTTTTGAACATTATATTGTGTTTTAGGTGAAAGTTTGCACAGTAAATTCGTTTCCTATTTAACAGTTCATACACAAATCGTTCCGTGACAGTGGTTGCTATCCCTGCAATGTGTCAGCACTTTCCTCATTTCCACCCTGCCTTGCCCGTTTCCATCCCTCCAGTTTCCCTGCTCCTCCTTGCCGTCACATTCTTGATTTTGAGCAATTCTGATGAGCACATTCCTAATGGGTGTTATTGTTTATTTTATAAGCCAATCTATTATTTGGCTGAAAGGTGACCTCCTGGAGTGACTTCTGTTCAGGTTAAAGGGGTGTCTTAAGGGCAGTAGTCTCGGGTTCCTTCAGTCTCCTATCAGTCCAGTAAGTCTGGTCTTTTTTATAAATTTGAGTTTAGTTCTACATTTTTCTCCCTTTCTAACCGGGACCTTCTACTGTGTCCCTGGTCAGAGCAGTTGGTAGTGGTAGCCAGGCACCATCTAGTTCTTCTAGTCTCAGGTTAGAGGAGGCTGTGGTTCATGTGGGCCATTAGTCCTATAGAGTAATTGCTTTCTTGAGTCTTTGGTTTCCTTCACTCTCCTTTGCTCTAGATAGGAAGAGACCAATAATTGTATCTTAGATGGCCACTCGCAAGCTTTTAAGACCCCCAACTCTGCTCACCAAACTAGGATGTAGAACATTATTTTTATGAACTATGTTATGCCAGTTGACCTAGATGTCCCCCAAGACTGCTCCTTAGCCTTCAAGCCCAGTAACTCAGTCCCACGAGGTGTTTGGATATGCCTAAGAAGTTTCCATAACTTACCCGCTATGTGCTCTATTATATATATGAATATATATGAAGCACATACAAACATGAATATACAAATGCCCACAGCTATACCTGTATATGCACACACATGTACTCCCATACACTCTCTCACCTATATAGCATACAAATCTACGCATATAACCACTCACAAATTTTTGGTTGTTACAGCTGTTGTTGCAGAATTGTATATGTTACAGGATTTACCGTAGTTGTCCTTTTATTCTTGTGTACTGCTCAGCGTCTTCATTTACCTTGGTCACACTGTGCTGACTTCCCCCGTATTGTGTATCGCCTTTTCCTTCACCAGAATTAACACATGTCTGCTCTCTAATGAGTGATTCTTCTTCCTTCCCCCTCCCATCCCTGGTAACCATCAAAGAACATTGCTTTCTATGTTTAAACCTATTCTTCACTTTTTATAAAAGTGATTCCATACAATATTTGTCCTTTTGTGATTGACTTATTTCACTCAGCATAATGTCCTCCAGATTCATCCATGTTATGTTTCGTGTACTCATTCTTTATTGTCGCAAAATATTCCATTGTATGTATATACCACATTTTGTTTATCCACTCATCTGGTGATGAACACTTAGGTTGTTTTCACCTTTTTGCTATTTTGAATAATGCTGCAGTGGACAAGAGTGCATATGTCTATTTGTGTCACAGCTCTTATTTCTCTAGGATATATGCCTAGGAGTAGGATTGCTGGATCATATGGTATTTCTACTTCTAGCTTTTTGAGGAAGCACTACATCATTTTCAATAGTGGTTGTACCCCCTAGTCTTTTTTTCTGTGCAAAGTACATAAAAAAATTATATTTCCAAGATTGGAATCATACCACACAAACTTTTGCAGTTCCCTATTGTCAGATAACTATGTTGTTATTTTTACATATCATTTAAAATTTTATATTGTTCCACTATTTATACTATAATTTATTTAATTCTTAATTTTTAAAAAATCTACATTGTTCCTAATATTTTGGTCTTATGAGCAGCACAGGCATGCATATCTCTGAACATTTATATTTTATATACCTCTCAATGCTTTTTCAGTATGCATTCTTAGAAATGGATTTTCTGGGTCAAAAAGGCTTTTCATACATATTGCCAAATTGCTTTCCAGAAAAGTTCCAAGTTACATCTTACTAGCAGACTCAGGGTACCTGTTTTTCTTCACTCTAATAGGTTAAAAAAAAAAAAGCCTGTTTAATTAGAAAATAGATTTTAAAAGTAATACAGTAAGAAGTGGGAGCTATAGCTCTAGTGTGGAATGGAAAAGGAATATTAAGACATACCATCATGTACTGTGTAAGTTGTGTTCTTACTCTATATTGTTCAGTTAGTAAATGTCCTTTTTTCTCTTTACTATTTAGTTTTCTTTGATTCCTTTTATGTATGTTGTTATTATTTGGTTTGCTGCCATTTTGTTTTACTCACCTGTACCTTTCCACCTAGAGACCAAATGAGAGAGTTGACATTGTATCAGAAAAACCAAGAGAAGATCCAGTACCAAAAGAGGAAACCCTGGTGAGTTGTGTTATTGATACTGTCTAGCCAAGTATGGTTTAAGAAGGTGAAAGCAGAGTCAATACATTGCAACATATTGTATTATTATAGTTCTGTACATTGTTATTTCAGAAGTTACACTGAAATACATCTTAGGGCTAGTTTAAGAGGTAGATATTTCCAGTAAATTATTTTCGTCTTCAAATCTATGACCTTTTTTTTTTTAATTCATCATGTGAATTCTCAAGATGCCTTACCAACAAAAGAATTCAGCAACAGAAACCATCAATCCTATTTTTGATATCTGGGATGGGGTTTTAATTTCTCTGTTAATGAAGCTTTATGACCTTTTCTTGTAGGTTCAGCCAATGTTATCTCCCGTTCCAACAACAGAAGTATCCACTGGTGTTAAATTCCAGGTTGGCGATCTTGTTTGGTCTAAGGTGGGAACCTATCCTTGGTGGCCTTGTATGGTTTCAAGTGATCCCCAGCTTGAGGTTCATACCAAAATTAACACAAGAGGTAAGAAAAGACAGTAAATATTAAATAAAAGATTGGAAGTAAAGAAAAGCAAATTTTAAATGTTGTATATGAATGTAAGAATACACACATAATATATACCCTGACACAAAAATATACACATCTATCTATGTCAGTTTTTCATGACCAGTGAAATAATTATGAAGCCCCTGGGTAGTATAAATGGTTAATGCACTGGGCTACTAACCAAAAGGTTGGAGGTTCCAGTCCACACAGAGGTGCCTTGAAAGAAAGGTCTAGCAGTCTACTTCCAAAAAATCAGCCATTGAAAACCCTATAGAGCACAAGTCTACTCTGACATACATGGGGTCGCCGTGAGTTGGAATCAACTCGACAGTAACTGGTTTGGCTTTTGATTTGGAAATAATTATGGTCATCTTAACTGAGAGAAACCTCTACAACTGATCTAGTCGTTGTTTTCCCTTATAACATCTTATATTTGCTTTACAATTTCTTTAACATTTATTTTTTTTAAAGACTTCAGTTTGACTGACCTTTTGTATTTCCAAAAGAAAGCAGATGGCTAAGTGATAAGATATCTTATATGAACTTAATAGGCATGTGGGCCAAAGCCTTTTTTGAACATTTTTATTTCATCATTGACTCCTATGGGTAGTAATTTTTCCCAGACAGTTGCTTTTCATCCTGATAACTTTTGCAGAATGCTTTCTTCCACCTCCCTTACATTTTTTTAATTTATAAATTTGTTGGATGCATTCTTATAAATTTGAGATGACCTGCAAGTACAACTTGAATCTAGCCATGTAGCATAGAATCTTATCTTAGGAGTGTTAATAAAAATCATTAAGGAAAGAAGTATTCTAACTTTATCTGTATTCCTCTTCCTGGGTTTGACCAAAATATGTGGATTGGATTCCTGAGATTCTAACATTTGGAACAAACTTGCTTAGTAACTAAAGGAAGGTTTGAGCTTGTAATTTATTTCTGGATTATTTGCTCTGGGAACTCACTCTTGCTTGTTGACTGGGGATGATCCTTCATTCTTGTATGTGACAACTTCGCACCTATTTCTTTTTCTCTCATGTTAAGCTTTCTGTCTTGGTCCTTGTCCATTGTGATGAGGAGAAAAATGTCTACTTAGTCTGACAAGTCAACTCTGTGATAGGATCTAACATATCTGTAACTCTTGTGCTACATCACCAGGAATCTGTCCGGTTTAGAAGGCAACCCAGCTTGATTATCTTTTTTTGTCATTATAACCTGCTGATTAAAAGTTAGAGTAGCTTGGAAGCATCAGTGATGCAGAAGTAAAAAAAACCAACATTGCTGAATGTTACTTTTGTGTAAGGCACTGTGTTAAGCAATTCTTATATATTTTCTTATGCAATCCTTGTAACAGTTACAGTATTAAGTAGCTACTGTTATCCTGTGTTTCAGATAAGTAAATAAAGTCTCAAAGAAATTTTATTCCACAGCCTCAGCTCTTAAACCCTACTTTATATTAAAGAGAAAGTAGTCATGGTTTACAGAGGTTGCAGAGAGGCAGTCCTAGTTCCTTCATACGTATACTGAGAGTGTCGGACTAGTCATCTCTCAGTACTTTTCAGCTCTGACAGTCTGTGGTCTATGGTTCTATCAGTGGAAGAAAAAGGGACAAGGATTGCCCAAGAGGACCAAGCCTTCTTAGATTAAACAATTCACGTCCATATCTGGGCCTCCAGAGCTGTCTAGGAAATTGCATCATGTGAGAGTTGTGAACTTAAATTCTCTTCTTTTAGAAAAGCATCCTTTTGAGATTATATACAGACTTTCACATTTAATTACTTTATGAAAACCTGCTAATTTCAGCTTTTTTGTGGGATGCAAATGAAAGCACAATTTATATGTCAAAGAAAATATTTAAATTAGTTTTATTAATGAACCTAATAGTGTCTGGTGGAGCCCTGTTGGCACAGTGGTTAAGCGTTTAGCTGCTAACCAAAAGATCAGCAGTTTGAATCCACCAGCCACTCTTTGGAAACCCTATGAGGCAGTTCTACCCTGTCCTGTAGGGTCGCTATGAGTCCTGATCAATTCAGCAGCAGTGGGGTTTTTTTTTTTAAATCTGGTCTGGTACCCCTAGACAATCTCCTACTTTAGTGCTGGAAAAACTGATTTTTTATTATTGAGGAGATCAGAAATCTGAGAATTTAGGTTACAAAAATCATATTCTGATAATATTTTCAGTTTTCTCTTTTCAGCAGTAGTTTTTTAATAACAGCTTTATGGAGGTATTATTTATATGCTATAAATTCATCCGCTTAAAATGTACAATTCAGCAATTTTTAGTACATTCACAGAATTGTGCAACTGTTACCAACTCTCACCCCAAAAAAGAAATCGTATATGTATGAGTAATCACTCCCTACTTCCCATCCCCCAGTCCGAGGCAACCCCTAATCTACTTCTGTTTCTGTGGATTTGCCTATCCTGGACATTTACTATAAATGGAATCATATAACATGAGGCCTTTTGGGTCTGGCTTTTTTTACTTAGCATGATGATGTTTTTGAGGTTCTTCCATGTTGTAGCATCTATCAGTACTTTAATTATTAATTAATTATTAGAAACATGAAAGACCCTCCTACCCCCAAAAAATACTTAGTGCAAGACTCATGATCATGCTCCTGGATGTCACAGCAATATCAAATTGCTGTTATAGTTTCTACACATGACTTCTGTACTATTTTTTTTTCGCAGACTGACTTATTCTGTGAACCACACTTTTTAGAGTAGCACTGCTCTAAAACAACAGTTCTTATATGTTTTGGTCCCAGGACCCCCTTTACTCTTAAAATTTGAGAATTCCAAAAAGCTTTTGTTTATTTGGATTATATCTTTTCCTTTTTTTTTTTTTAAATAATATTTTATTGTGTTTTCAGTGAAAGTTTACACAGCAAATTAGGTTCCTATTTAACAATTACTACACAGATTGTTTAGTGACATTTGTTACATTTTTCACAATGTGTCAACATTCTCATTAATTCCATTCTGGGTGTTTCGTTTCCAGTAATCTGCTTTCCTTGTCCCCTTATCCTTTCATCTTTGTTTTAGAGTAATTGTTGGCCGTTTGGTCTCATATAGATAATTTTTAAAGGTATGCAGTTCTCACCAGTAATATTCTTTACTTTATAAGCCAGTCTGTTATTTAGCTAAAACATAACTTCAGGGTAGTTTAAGTTTAAGGTTTATGGAGTATCCCAGGGCAGTAGTCTCAGGGAGTCCTCTAATCTATTCCTATTTATTTTAATTTAGAAATTAAAGCTGAAAACTTGTAAATATTTACTAACTCATCTTAAAATATGTTAACATTAAGTTTTTGTGAAAAATAACTATTATTCAAACAATAAAATTAATGAGAAGAATGATATTGTCTTATATTTTTGCAAATCTCTGTAATGCCTGGCTTAATTAAGGGCAACTGGATTCTTCCATCTGCTTCTACATTCAATCTGTTATGATATATTGTTTTGGTTGAAGTATACGAAGATAATTCAGCCTCACGTAGGTGTACAGTTGGAAAAGGGAGAGTTATTTTAATAGCCTTTTCAGATAATTGTGAATATTTTTCTTTGATGTTACACCAAAACTGAACAAGTGGTTGGTTCTTAAAGATTAGTTACAATGTGGAATCTGAAATCATACCAGTGAACTTTTTGTATTAAAATCTGTTGCAAAAATCTGTCTTGCACTTTGAATGGGTCTTTTACTTTGCATGATCTCATAACATCATGCATTGGTTATTTAGAAAATATTGGCTTACTGAGTCATGCAGATTTTCCAAATGTTGACACATTCCTGTACAAACGTCACATTTGTTAATTTCACCAATTATTTTATCAGAAAATTCTTTGATCATTGGGAAGCAGACAAGCTCATAGTGGCAAATACAAGTTTTCCAAAATTCTAAATTTTGTTTGAAAGTTCCAACTTTATTATTGGCAACAAATACTATCAGTTGTTTTCTTCAAAATGACAGATTTGTTTTATTCTTTTTTAAGAAAATATTTGCCAGATATTCAAGTTCAAATCACCATAGTTTGTCAGTCATTCTCTCAAGTAAAAATGGTGTTACATGAGAAGGCAGCCGTCTACCTTTCAGCTCAAACAAACACACAAGTCCTTTTCCTGAAGGCGTACTTCTGTGTGCGGAAGTGCTGTATGTGTACTTCCCATTTCATCACATAGAATATTAAAAAGGCATGTATGTAAAGGCCGAGATTTAATAAAATTAATGATGTTTACTGCCTCATCAAAGATATTAAGTGAAACTTTTTTCTTTTTTTAACTGCCCTTGCATAGCTGTGAAGACTCCAAGGACACTAGTAGAGTTTGGTGCCACCCATTGCCTTTATTGGTGCAAAGATGCCAGCAGTCTTATCCACTATTGCTTTTCCACTGTCAAGTGCAGATGTCAGCAGAGTGAAAAAGACAAATAACATCTTGGTATTATTATGATAATAGTCTTGGCCTCATGGGACCCCTGAAAGAGTCTCAGAGACTCCCCCTGCCCATGCACACACACCCCTCCAACGGTCTGTAATTACCATACTTCTGTGTGGTTAGAAAAGCAGTTTGACTAGTAGTTGGCTTTTAAAAGCCCAGGAAAGCATGTTACACATTTTTCTTAGGGAAACGTTGTTTATTTACACCCCTATTTATCTGTAAAAAGATTTGAAGCAAGTAAAAAAATTGTGTAACCAAAGTAATAAATCTGATAATTAGCAAATTTCTGCTTTTCTTTCTCTTAAAATTTGCTGTATTAATTTTAATTATTTGAGGTGATTTTTATAGTAGTTATTATTTATGTAATTGGTAAATGTTGGATTATGGCTTTGGACAATCTGAAACATACACAGTTTAGTAAGAGTGATAGTGAGGATCCTGGGTTAGGTTCACATTTTTGGCAAAACGTATATGGATGTTTATGTTCTGAAGTTATTAATAAGAATTTTTACTTACAGGTGCCCGAGAATACCACGTACAGTTTTTTAGCAACCAGCCGGAGAGGGCATGGGTTCATGAAAAGCGGGTACGGGAGTATAAGGGTCATAAGCAGTACGAAGAATTACTGGCCGAGGCAACCAAACAAGCCAGCAATCACTCAGAGAAACAAAAGGTAACTGACAATATATTATCAGTCTAATCGAGTTTCTAAAGGACTTAATTTAGTAGAATTTTTCATACTTGAATTCAGACAGTTGTTAGAATGATTTATTTTAGCTCCTTTAAGTTCCATTCAGTTTTAATAATTTTATAAAATAAATATTTATCAATAAGTTTTATATGCTACATAAACAACATTATAGTACTATTAAAAACTTTACCTGTTTAGTGCATTGTTAGATTCTATTGTGAATTGAATTAATGTGCATAAGCCTACAAGATGCTAGTGAAATGTAAAATTTGCCAGGGATTTTTATCCCTCTCCCTATTTAAGCATCCTTTCATAATTCCTCTTGAGTCTTATTTAGCAAAATTGTTTTATAAAAGTAAAATTTTTGCAATACTTCGTGAGCACCTACTGTGAGCTAGGCACCGTTTTAAGCATTTTATATAATCAACTCATTTAATCTTCATAACAACCTATGAGATAGATACTATTATTCCAATTTCTACAGATAGATGGGGGCACAAAAAGCTTAAGTAACTGGACCAACCAGGTCACACAAATGATGGAACTAGGCTGAAATGAAATGTGTTTGATGTGGTGGTGGATATTTTAGAGTTTTGACATGAACTCTGGATAATCTGCCTGGTTGAAATGTTCAAGCTCAACTAATTTTAATGTGGGTCTCTTGTGATTGAGAGGTTTGTCATATTTTTACATTTTGAAAGCTAAATTTTAATTACAGAATTTTGATTCATTTTATCAGACTTAGCTTTTACAGGTTTGTACATCAGTGTCCAGGGTACACTCTACTCTCTCATAGTTCATTAGCTAGTTTCTGGCTACTTCAGTCTAGTTCTGTGGATAACTCCTAATTGCTTTTTGGTCATCACACATAGACACACTTTTATTCAATTCAAAGTTTTCTTATCTCTCTTGCCAATTCAAAGTCTTCTGATCAACCCTGGACAGGGAGACATGGAGACCAATGGAAACTGTGATTTGGGTTTATTTTTTCTCTCACATATGTGGCTGTTATCCTATGTCTTGTCAGCTTTCATGTGCTCCTCAGGACTCTCTCCTTTTACTTCATTCTGGCCCCTGCTTGCATTAGGATACAGACTAGCAGCACAGCTTCAAATGCTGGCTCTGCCAGTTACCTTTGTTATGGTGTCTATAATCCCCTGACCTCTCCCCTTCCCCTAGATATGGGGAAGAAATGGGTGCTTTGAGGTGTCATTTTTAGTGTTAGTGCTTTATTGGACACTGAAAGTAATTATTTCTGCATTCTATTCTTTCTTCCCTTTGCCCTCATTATTGCTAGGTTTTTTTTCTTTTTTATAAATATGATGTATAAAGAGGGATGTTTCCCTCTTGGGAGACTTGTCCAGCAGAGTAGTCAACAAAGGAAGGACAGATAATTGGGAGTAGACTTTCATGTCACCTGATAGTGATACTCATTTATCGAAGTTATGGAGATAGAACATTTCACTAACTTAACTGAAGAAACTGAAAGTATTCATTTCATATATACCTGAAAAGGTAACAGGATCACACGAGAAGTACATGTTTGTTTAAATGTACTTATTAAAGTATCTTCTAAAATGCCTGTATCTTTTTTAAAGATTCGGAAACCCCGACCTCAGAGGGAACGTGCTCAATGGGATATTGGCATTGCCCACGCAGAGAAAGCATTGAAAATGACTCGAGAAGAAAGAATAGAACAGTATACGTTTATCTATATTGATAAACAGCCTGAGGAGGCTTTATCTCAAGCTAAAAAGAATGTTGCCTCCAAAGCCGAAGTTAAAAAAACCCGGAGACCAAGATCCGTGCCGAACACTCAGCCAGAACAGACCAATACAGGGGAGGCAGTTTCCTCCCCATCAAGTACTGAAATGCGGAGACACAGCCAGAGGCGGCACACAAGTGTGGAAGAGGAAGAACCACCTCCTGTTAAAATAGCGTGGAAAACAGCAGCAGCAAGGAAATCCTTACCAGCTTCCATTACAATGCACAAAGGGAGCTTGGATCTGCAGAAGTGTAACATGTCTCCTGTTGTGAAAATTGAACAAGTGTTTGCTCTTCAGAATGCCACAGGAGATGGGAAATTTATCGATCAGTTTGTTTATTCAACAAAGGTATTCCCATTTTTGTGTTTTTGTGGAGGGTATTCAATAAATAATCAACATAGGCATTAAAAAAACAAAAAACCAACACAAGGGTATAATTTAAATATCCCTCGTGTCCACTGCATTGGAAATGTGCAGTCGAATACTCTGTTTAAGATGGGACAAAAAAGAATAGGCAAAATGGCTATTTTTTTTTCTTTTCTTTTTGTTATGTTTTTTCTGTTTTGCAATACCTCCATCTGTACTATATTAATCTTGAGCTGTGCAGCCAAAATTGAGCTTAGCTCCCTAAAGTCGTGGAAAAAAACTGGAACACTTTGCCTGTTTCTAGTTTGTATAGTCTTTCTTAGTTGCAGAATGTGCTTCATATTGAATCATTTTTGTCAGTTATCTGAGCTAATGGTTGTCTGAAAAGCCACTGTAATAATTGGACCTGCTGACCTGTTTGGTTGCACTAGCTATCTGGTAGGCTGGCCCATGTTAGCATAGGTGTCTCACTGCATTTTAGAGAAATACCAGAGCTATGTTTGTTCTGCAACAATTAACAGTGGTGATAGCTGAGGTGAAAATAGCCTCTTCAAACCAAGTGCATCCTTCAGCCAGCCTTGGGGCCTGACATGTGGCAAGAGGGTTAAGCACTCAATAGCGCTAGCTGAAAGGTTGGTGGTTCAAACCCACCTAGAGGCAACTCCAAAGATGGGCCTGGTGGTCTGCTTCCAAAAAGTCACAGCCTTGAAAATCTTGTGGAGCATAGTTCTACTCTGCAACACGTGGGGTTGCCATGAGTAGGAATTGACTCTATGGCAACTGGTTGGTTAACTTAGCTGGAAGGTGGTAGAATTCTCGCCTTCCATGCAGGAATGCACCTTATGTGCCTTGTGTGCACCCAGCACCCATCTGTCAGTCGAGGCTAGCATGTTGCTGTGATGCTAAACAAGTTTCAGTGGAGTTTCCAGATTAAGATAGACTAGGAAGAAAGGCCTGGTGATCTACTCCTGAAAATTAGCCAGTGAAAACCCTGTGGATCATAATGGGTCTGATCTACAACTGATCATGGGGATCGCACGGGACCAGGCAGCATCTTGTTCCCTTGTGTGTGGGGACGTCATGAGTTGGGGCTGACTTGGATGGCAACTAACAGCTATTCCAACCTACCTGTAAAAACTTAAGTTGCAGTACCTACTTGATTCTCCTGGTGGCTTTGAATAGCAAATGAATATTTTGCATCTTTTTTTAATGCAAATTGCCTACATTCTTGGAGCCAGTTTTATCTGCTTCTGGATACACAAATCAAACTTTGTCTTACACACACCTCCCGGAGTGGTATTGAAAGGAAATCCACAATAAATTTGATCCTTTAGAATATATATTTATTTAGAAACCACTCCTTCTATTTCACCAGGTTAAAAATACCTAAAATGAGGCAGAATTGCAATCATACCTGCCTTCTGTCTGCTCCACTTGCTTATTGAGTGTACATTTTGGTCACCATGAATGGTGTATTTCTGTATCTAAGAATATTGTCTCTCAAGACATATTGACATTTTTATCTGTGTAGTAGGGCACTTTACCAAATGAAAATAACTAGAGTTCTCATACTATATTATGTATAAAGGGAGATAACTATTCAAACCAGAAAATACTTTGGTTTTCACAGAAAATTAGCTGATGCAGGTTCATTTTTAGCGATATTCATCACCTGGACTTAGACAAATTGGTTTTTCTTCATGAGCTCATTTTACATTTTAGAATATAGTCTAATGATTTAACAAAATTGTTCTGATGATGGGTAAGGTAATAAAATGAAGGACCTTATACAATTCAAGCAGTTTATCATCGTTTTAAGCCATCTTTGTAAGTCAATGATGCCATTTGCCTGATAATCACCTAGTTTTTACTTTGCCTTATTTTAAAGGGAATTGGTAACAAAACGGAAATAAGTGTCAGGGGACAAGACAGGCTTATAATTTCTACACCATACCAGAGGAATGAAAAGGCAACTCAGAGTATGTCATCTCCTGAAGCAGCGTCTGGTCCTACAGGTTGGTATGAATGAAGAGTATGTAGACCCATTTTGAGAGGTCATAGTTCTGTTCTATCACATAGCTGTGTTCTTAAGAAACTTTTGGTAGTCAAAAGTCAAATTGTATTAATAAAAGAATTGTAAAAGTAATTCTTTCAATAAGAAAAAATGGGTTAGGGACTAGAGAACTTTATTCATAGTAACAGTTATTTTTCCTGTAGGAATTCCAGTAACAGGCAGATTTTGTAATTAAAAGAGTATAGCTATAAAATCTAAACGTATCTAAGTAAATGCACCATTTGATTCTCTCTGCATGAGAATAACAGCTTTACTTTCCTAGCACTATTAACAGATTCTTAGCATTTTCTCCTTTATCCCACATTGAAAACAAGGTGGCAGCTGCCAGCCCTCTTTAATGATTCCTAGGTGTGCTAGAGGTTAGTAGTAGTTGAGGGTCCTAGGGCCTAATTCTCCCATTATAATCTGATCTCTGACAAACAGATACCATGAGTTGAAAATCAAGCTGTGTTATTCCTGTGGTCAGTTAGGTGCTTTTGAAATGTTCAAAGTAATTTTTATTAAGAGACTGACTTACTACGGATCTTATAGTTTTAACTGAGTCTGGTGGGTTTGGTTTATATGAAAGTATTGCATTAGTAGTATTTCTGTTGCTTCATATAGCCATCAAGAAAAGAGTTGGGTATCAACTAACTTGATCATTTTGAATCTTAATTTAGGAGAAAGGAATTTCACTTTGGTCTTTTAAAATGGTTTTTGAAATATAAGAACTGATCAAATAATTTTCTGGAAGGATTAAAGTTTTAAGACCTAAGGTCTTAATCTTAAATCAGTAGTAACTCAGGCAAATCTGTGACTGAGTGGCATTAAGGGGTAAATCTTTTTGTAATGGAAATGTCAAGTAAGATTCTAATTAGTATAAGAGCTAAATAAAAACAACCTTTGTTCCAGAAAAGACTTGGGGCTAGCTTTCTTTAAAAAAAAAAAAAAAAATGGACAGGGGAAGGTGGTGACTGAGGAGATGGGGCATATATTGGACCAGGCATATTAAAGAGCATACCTTTATCCAAAATTGAATTAGGAAAGGAAGCTGATTTAAAGAGAGGGGATAACTCTCCAGAACCAGATTTACAACTTTTATCATTTCAAGATACTATAATAAAAAATGAAAGTATAATGTTGAAAGAATGAGTAAATAGAAGATTTTGCATTAATTAGCCATGATTGAAAATGTTTGTTCCCATCTTTGCATTTTAAAATAATCTTTTGGCCTCAGCTTTCCATAGTTAGGTATATCGGTTTTATTATCTCTCTTTACACTAAACTGTTGGTAATTTGTCTGAATTTAAATGGGATACCGAGATTAGGAGAATCTTTATTTAAACATCTACTTTCTCCTAATTAATGAGAAATTGAATTCTTCATATATAATATTAGACTGATATTAATTCACATGTTTTACTTTTGTTTTTAATGGAGCTTTTGTTTTTTCCTCTCGCTACTGAAAGTTTTATTTTAAGGTAGTCTTTTTTTTTTTTAATTGTACTTCAAGTGAAAGTTTACAATTCAAGTTAGTCTCTCATACAAAAATTTATACAGACATTGTTGTGTGACCCTAGTTGCTCTCCCTATACTGTGACAGCACACTCCTCCTTCCCACCCCTGATTTCCCACGTCCATTCAACCAGCTCCTGATCCTGTCTGCCTTCTCATCTCACCTGTGGACAGGAGCTGCCCATTTGATCTCGTGAATCTTCTAGAGCTAAGAAGCACACTCTTCACGAGTATCATTTTATGTCCCATAGTCCAGTGTAATCTTTGTCTGAAGAGTTGGCCTCGGGAATGGTTTTAGTGCTGGGTTGACAGAGAGTCTGGGGGCCATGCTTTCTGGGGTTCCTCCAGCTTCAGTTAGACCATTAAGTCTGGTCTTTTTACTAGAATTTGAGTTCTGCACCCCACTTTTCTCCTGCTCCATCAGGGACTCTCTTTTGTGTTCCTTGTCAGGGTGGTCATTGGTGGTAGCTCAGGTGGTCTTTTAATTATAAGATTTAAGTTCTGCTATAAATTTTCTTTTCTTTTTTAATTCTTTATATCTGGAAAAAGTCAGCCTTATTTCTTCCTTAGGGTGGCACATGTAATTTAGGTTGTAAGTTAAGACTGGAGCTTTAATTTCATGATGGGTGCCCTAAAGCGTTGACCTTAGTTTAAATTTAGTTACCAGCTGTAGTTATAAGCATATTTTGTCCTGTAAAATGACCATTTTGCTTCTTGTGAAAATTAATTCAGTAGTTGAGTAGAGACTTGTTCTCCCTTCAAAAACCAATTGCATCCTCGTGTTGGTTGGTGTTAATTATGTAGGGAGAATTCTTGAGGGTTTTTTTTTTTTTTTTGTAACTTTAGGGGATACATCAAATGTGTGGCAGTGACACGTTTCTTGAAGAATTGCTTTTGCATTCACACTAGACTTCTGGGCTATTTTTAAATCCAGAGATACTCCTCTCCCCTCCCTTAGAACATGAACATAATACTTTTTAAAGGTTTTTAAATCTAGTAGAATATATATGTTCTTTGGGTGGCTTTCAGAATAATTTTAAGAAGTCATGTTGCCTTATCCTCTATGAGACTATAGATTGTAGTCTCTTCTACACTTGGGGGAACAATTATTGTCATCCTCAGAACAAGTGAAAATTCTTTGTTTGTTTTTTAGTAGTTCCAGTTTCATTTTCCTCTTCCCTGGTAGATACTTGAATACCGAGGATATACTAAATGAGGGATCTTTGGGTCCTCAGGTTGATCTATGAGGGTAAGATATCTGTTGTCTTAGTAAACGTTCTCATCAGTGTAAGGAGAGTGATAGAAAAGGAAGGAGTCATCACCTTTATCTGTGTCTTCTCTGCTATAAGTTGATATAACTATGGCTCAGAAACAATATATTATCATCAAACTACCCATCCCTACCCCCAGACAAAGTAATGGGATTGTTCTTTGTTTTGACTTTGGACTAAGGTGAGGGAAGCCAAGAGCAATAAAACCAGAAAGTTTAAAGGAAGGCTATATTGAAGTAGCTTCTGTCTGATTTTATAGGAGGTTTTAGCAGCTTCCTCCTGTGGCAAGTGAAAGGTGATTATTATCCAGGAGGACTATTTAGGTAGTCCAGGCACTGGAAAAGGAACCCTGGTGGTGCAGTGGTTAAGCGCTCAGGTCAGTGGTTCGAACCCCCCAGATGCTCCGTGGGAGAAAGATGTGGCAGTCTGCAGTCTGCTTCCATAAAGATTTCAGCCTTGGGAGCTCTATGCGGCAGCTCTCCTCTGTCCTGTAGCGTTGCTGTGAGTCGGCATCCGCTCGAGGGCAACCGGTTTCGTTTGGTTTTAGGCACTGAACAGGTGGAGAACAGGTGCACTGAAGGTATCATTCCTCCTCAGTCACAGTGAAATCATTTCTGACTTAGTTCTTTTAAAAAGTTGTGGTCTTCAGTCTGAGTTTTATCCTTTTCTAAAAATGGGGTCCATGTGAGTTTCCTTCTGTTTACATTGAAATGATTTTACTATTTAAAAATGTTAGTAGTTTCTTGTTTTAGCATCTGACTTGGAAAAGCTTGATAATTTGATTTAACTCTTAAGTTTCCCATGACTACCATACCGTACCTGTTGCCGTCGAGTCGACTCCAACTCATAGCAACCCTATAGACTAGAGTAGAACTGCCCCATAGAGTTTCCAAGGAGCGCCTGGTGGAGTTCTTTCTAAAGTATAACAAGTCCCTTAAAAGTCATATTAATGGCTAGGTTTTGGGTCATATTTTTGTGCCTTTCCTGATTTTTTTACCCTTTGTTTGCTAATAATAATCATAAAAATAGCAAAACTATGCACCAAGCACTGTTAATCATTTTACATGTAGAATTAACTTAATTCGTTTGTTAAAATGCAGTCTGTAGGCTGATTGAATTTTGAACCAATAATTCCTAATGTCAACTGGGTAATAAAGCCATTCTCATCCATCCTTTCAATTACATTTACTTGAAAGTATTTACCTGCCTTTAAACTATATCTGTGCTGTTTTAACTTGACTTTATAATTTTTTTAAAATTCAATTCCTTTTATTTGTATAATTTAGTGTCCTTTTAAAATCCCAGTTTCAGCTTATTAGCCTTTAGAATTTGATCTATAAAAATGTTTATGTACTCCCAAATGGCCTTTTAATGATTTATAAATAAAAATTCCAAAAAGTATTGGGTAAGAAAAGCAAGGAATTTGGTCATATATTAATTACTTAAGTGTCAAGATATTCTTAATGAGTTTTTATTTATTTGTTTATATCATCTCTTAGGCTCAGTAGAAAAGAAGCAACAGAGAAGATCAATTAGAACTCGTTCGGAATCAGAGAAATCCACTGAGGTTGTGCCAAAGAAGAAGATCAAAAAGGAGCAGGTTGGCTTCCTACATGTAGAGAGTTAAAACATTGTATTTGTAAATACTGTAGCTTATATTGGTATCCTAAAAGGAAAAACCTCCCTCTGCCCATACCCTCCACCCCTGGTTTCCTCTCTGGACTCTGTTTTTGTTCTGGTGGGTTCCAGTGCCTGATTGTAACACAATCGTCCCTGTGATTCTGCTTTAAGCATTTTCATAGAAAAACAGTCAGGCTTCAGGAGATGGAAGGCCAGTACTGTAAGACTCTTAAAGAATCCCTCACATTTATTTTGAAATTTCTGTTATGAGCAAAATGATTTCATGTTTTTTATTTGGAACCATCATTGAGCCTCCCCCCCCCCTTTTTTTTTTAATTTTGATTTTTGGTTTAAGCTGCTGGTATGTATGGTTTTTATTTTTTAACAAATCAAATTAACTATAAGAGTTATATTTAAGAAATAATCAGAGATGATCTGGTTTTCCTGTTGATATCACAGATTTTTTGGAATGTTATTTTCCTCCAGTGGAATGGCACTCACCTGTAATTAGGTTGTCAGATAAATTATATTTAAATTTTTAGAAAGGGAGGGCATTTTGACTGAAGGGTGTTAAACCAATGTAATCAGTGGGGGTAATATACATGTTGAATTACCTTTTCAAAGAAATTTTTAGAAACCATTGCTGCTTTGAATTAAACTCACAATCAGAATTTTTCTTAATTTTTTTAAAGTGAGAGAATATCTGTTTTTATAGCCCAGACAGCACTATTGAACAAAAAGAATTCTGAGTAGAATTAGTTCCAGTAAGCTTTGTATTTTTAAACCATTTATTATGGAAGAGTATGAACTTTTCTATTTTAATTATTTCCTTATAATTTTAAACTTCCAAACTTAAAAGGTGACTGACTCTCTGTGGTTAATCTGTGGTATCACCAAGCATGTAAAACAATTTTCCCAGAAATACTTAACTAAAATTTAAATAATATACTAATTCATTTACTATATTAACTTTCATACTTAGGAAATTATATTCCAAAAAACTTTGTAAGCTCTTGCAAATCTACAGTATTCATTATCAAAATTTATTGTGATTTTGCCAGCTGGTTCCCAAATTCAGCCTGTTACTAGTCAGTTTAAAATTAATAAGCAAAATGGGACAAATTGTTAATGCCACAATACCAGTGATTGTTTAGAAGATTTTATATTTGTATCACTAATTGTATCTTATAAAAGCGCTTCTGTTGTATGTTTTTTACCTGTTGTAAAAAAAATAAAAATTTTTTTTAAAAAGCTTAGAACAATCCTTAAATATTTACAAAATGTGTTTCAACATGCATATTTCACATCTTAAAGAAACATAAAATTCAATTCATAGCTTAAACAGAAACTCCTCCAACAGCATCCTTTCTCTAATTCCAATGGTTCAATCCTCAAATTGCCATGTGTTTTACATATACGTAAGGAGCTGTGATGGCGCAGTGGTTAAAGTGCTCAACTGCGAACAAAAAAGGGGTTCGAACCCAGAACCCGCCAGGCACTCCGTGGGAGAGAGATGTGGCAGTCTGCTTCCGTAAAGATTTACGGCCTTGGAAACCTTACGGGGCAGTTCTACTCTGTCCTGTAGGGTCGCTATGAGTCGGAAGCGACTCGGTGGCAGTGGGTTTGGTTGATTACATATACATTGGCAGAATAACTTCTGATCTCGCTCTCCTAATGTAGGATCAAGACACTGTTCATAAGACACTCAAGAAAGTGCTTTTGCAATATCACAAACTTACTTTCTTAAGTTTGTACTAGCAGCAAAAGTATTGAGCTTCCAGCTGTATGCAGCCCTGTAGCACTCTCTACAGAGAGGGTCCTGATTCCCAGCAACTTAGCTGTGAGTGCAGGCGCGGAAGGGTCTTAAAGTGGCGTGAGTTACATTAACCTGAGTATCATAGTAAGTAAAAATTTATCCTAACATCTTTGGGGTGGGAGGGGTTTATAGCAACACTGGGGCTGGTTGCAGAAACAACCCCTCTCCTGCCTCCCGGACACTGAAGAAACTATTCTTGTTCTCTTCATATAGTAAGGGAATGGTGGGAAAAGTCTTTACTGGAGAGCATGTGGCTGTGTGATGTCACTTGGTATTCAGCAAGGCAGCTAGCATTTAAACCCTTCCTGGCCTTGAGACAGAGAACTTCACCCAGAAGATGGGACTGGCTTCAGATTTCAGATACATTAGTGATCACTCAGCATTACTTAGATTGAGGAAAGTTTTTTTTTTTTTTCTTGTATTAATTAAAAGTGAAAAAATTCCTTGTTAATTCTGTATTTTTCTACCCATACAGGTTGAAAGCGTTCCTCAGGCTACAGTGAAGACTGGATTACAGAAAGGTGAGTTAATATATAATGTTACTTTGCATTTCCTTGATTAAAACCAGTTTTTAAGAACTACTTATTTGTACTTCATGTATTTTTGTCTGTCTCTGTAAATCATTGTTGTTGCTCTCCAGTCAATAATTTGTGTGAAATTGCAATATTCCCCAGTGTTTGTGTGCGTGTGTGACTTTTAGAGTTGATCTTATTCTGTGCCTCCATGTGAAAAAGTCTTATTTGTTTTGGTAAATTGGAGAACACCATGTAGACGATACCATTTCCAACTTTTCTCCATAATATTCTGGGGTTTCACTGATTTATAAACTAGGGATGTGACGAATCCACTTTTTTTGGTATTCGACCGAATACCAAATAGTAGCTATTAATGTTTGTCAAACATGGACTATGACAAATCAGACAAGACAACCTGATTGAAAAAATCTTGCCACGGTTATTTTTACAGTGCTGTAAAATCCTTTTGTAAATTGAAATGATTCATAGCATATTTATGGCCACTGTTAGATGACCTTATGCAAATCTATTTAAGATAATGCACAAAGTTTAAGAAACCTTAAACTTATATCTGTATTTTATGTGTGCAATTTGACTACAGTACAAACTCCGTAGCATGATTCGTGCGTTTTTGGTGAGATCATTCAAACTGTATTTAGTACCTGTAGTTTACTCTGGGCAAATTGCATTATTTAAAAAAAAAAAAAAAAAAAACACCAGCCTCTCTGCATTCTCGGGGAGAAGTCTGCAGCGATGGTCTCCGTGGAGATCCTCAGCAGAACTGAACAGCCTCCCGGAGGGAACACTGCTTGGCGGAGCTCCAAGAAAAGACATCGCGATCGCTGCGAGATTAGGAGGCCTGATTGCGTTGTGTTTCCACCATTCCACAGGGTCGGCGGACCGGGGAGTGCAGGGCTCTGTCAGATTCAGTGACAGCTCCGTCTCCGCAGCGGTTGAGGAAACTGTGGACTGAGATTCCTGTACAATTTCATCCCAGAAACTCCAGACTTGTAGTCTCCATGCAAGATTTCTTTGTCGGCGGCTCGATAAACAGTTTCTTTGTTTTCGATTTTGATTTTGCCAATCATCATTATTGGCATTCTCCTGCCTGGTTTCTTCAAGACTCTGAACAATTGCTTTAACATTCAAATGATTTTTTTTTTTTTTTTTTCCCGGTCTGAGCTGGATGGGTACAGCTTAAATCATGGGTCCAGCCTAAAAACCACCGTTTAACTTACACTGACCAATTTCAACATGGACTGTTTTTTGTTTTTAAATAAAGCATCATTAATGCACATCTGCAGGGTTTTGCCAAACAGCCCAAACTGTATACATTACAATCATTAAAAGCTCTTATTTTTTTTAATATTAGTGCCGTTATCATGGAGAACAGCATGGCGGCTGTCTTTGGCAGTCTGCCATTTTTCTAGCGTTTTCAGAAACTCGTCGGAAATGGCGGTACCTGTGTTTCCCTTCGAAAGCCTCTCAGTGCAGCACTCCTGTTCCTCTGTTAAAACTCCTTGTTAATCCAGTGATCTTTTAGGCCAAGGAAACATTTTGTGGTGGTGTTCTGGGTCCATACACCAGCAATGAAGGAGATAGATTTGTGTACTTGTGTTTTTTAATCAGCGTTAACATGGGCAGGCACCCTCATTTATAGATGGTCAGGAAACATTCAGTGAAAACCTTGTAGAATGGGATATGATAACGAGGTTCCAGTAATCTGAGCAGTCTAACGAGGCCCACATCCTCCACCACAGAACATGTCTATATACCAAGTGCTACTCTCACTCAGCCTGTTGCGGATCTTCATGGCCTCAGGAGACTTGTTTCTCCATGGTCTCTTCTGGACTGCACACTTCCACCATAGCTTGCTGGGCTGATCTAGATGTCTGTCTGTTGTATGGAAATTTTGGGGGAAAAAAATTCCAAAACACAAAGCTGTGGGTTGAAATATTAACCATCTCCTTGGTTCCTTGGTATTCACCGTGCCTGATCTGCACATTTCATCGTGGCTGTTTCTGTATAGCCTATTCTGCATTAGCCCAAGAGATTGTTGCTTTGTAACTTTTTGCACTATTGTTTTGGCTGGATTTGTATTACAGTTTTAAAAAAGAATTCCACACTACTCTCTGCCTTTTTTTTTTTTTTTTTCCGTATGTATTCCTTCCCGCACAAATTCCACATAGAGGCCTCTCATCCAGCTCTTCGTGATTTGGCTGCACTTGAATACCGATTGTCCATTTACAGCCCTCAGCGCAGTGTGCCTCCTAAATGGCATGACATATGTAGCTGTGCTGCAGCACTTGTTAATGGTCACAATAAATGCCACTTCACCAAGGAAGTCTCAGATGAACAATTATGAACATCCAAAATTTATTTGGGGGGAGATAATCAACTGAATTGCAAAATTCGGGGGAAAATGGCACTGTCCGTGTACGAATCGAATACAAATCAAAGATTTGTCACATCCCTAATAAAAAACAAGATGGAGATGTCTCTGCAACCATATTTGTAAGCTACACAGTGTGTTGGGTTTTATGTCTTCCCCCTCCAAATTGAATGGTTCCTTGGATTGCTCCAAATCGATCTGTCCTGTAGTTTTGATAGAATTGGTTTTTAGGTTGGAGCTTGGGCTCTGTTGACTGAAAATAGCTTTAGAGCAGGAGCACTGAAATAAATGTTTTAATAGAGCGGTTGTAAATTAAATCAGTCACTACCAGGAAGGTCAGAAGCTTGTGAAGTTTTGACTTGTGACTTCAGTGTTACAAAGAGAGCTGTGCTTTTTCCACACTAAAGATGAGTTTGGGGAAAGAAACTATTCTCCCACAAAAAAAAAAAATTAAACTTTAAGCACTATTTTAGGATTAATTTCAGTGTGTTATATTAAGGTGCCAGCGAGATTTCAGATTCCTGTAAACCTCTAAAGAAAAGGAGTCGCGCCTCAACTGATGTAGAAATGACTAGTTCAGCATACAGAGACACATCTGACTCCGATTCTAGAGGACTGAGTGATCTGCAGGTAAATATGTGCAAGCGTCTGGGCAAAGTGCTCTTTTTTTGCTTTGCAAAATCAAAGTCATATCCTGTTTTGCCTGACTCATTTGGGGGAAATGGGGGAATTTTTAAAATACACTGAAGGAAGAAATGACTTTTGTTATTCTGTAACTTACAAGTGTCAATTTTACTGATCTCTTATAACAGAAACATAGTTTTCTTTGTTTGCTTTTAACTACAGTTTCCACAAAACACCAGACATATGGTATCCATGGGTTTTAGAAAGAAAGAAAGAAAAAAGAGGTTGTTTTAAGATCTAGTTGATCGGGGTGGAAAGGGAGAGTGTACTGTCACAGTATAGGGAGAGCAATTAGGGTCACATAACGATGTATGTATAAATTTTTGTATGGGAGACTAACTTGAAATGTATATTTCATTTAAACTGCAACAATTAAAAAAAAAAAAGATGAACAAGGCGTGCTAGGTTTTTCATACCTAACTTTGAGGGAGGTATTGTCTTGGTTTGTTTTTCTTAAGTATGTGCTATGTTTTCCACGTAGGTAAGCTTTGGAAAGCAAGTAGATAGCCCTTCAGCTACCGCAGATGCAGATATTTCTGACGTGCAGTCCGTGGATTCAAGTTTGTCAAGAAGAAGCTTTGGAATGAATAAGAAGGACACTGTGTGTCAGGTAGGCGGGTTACCGGTCCTGTGGCTTAAAACAATTGCTGTAATGTTCTACCAACAATATACTCACCTTGTGTTGAAGAAGGTAGTAATCTTTGCAAATTATGATGTTACTTTAAAGCTACAGATCTAAATGTCATTTCTAGCTCTTTTCCTTTGAGTTGGAATAGTTATTCATATGCAAATGCAGATATTCATTGTGATAACACTGTTATTAATTGTAAATAAATGGCAGGTGACTGATTTCAAAAATGTGTTCTTAAGTTTAAGTTGATCCTAACTTTTTAAAAAACATATATTTACGCTTCTTGAAAAATACTGCTTTGCCCTGTAAACAAAAATTAAAATATACAGATCCCAAAGAAGAAATCATACAAGATAAAAAGTATGACTTTTAAACTTCATACCATATTGGGTCTGAAAATAGACATCTAATTCAGTGATTCTCCAGGCGAGGTCCAAGGACCAGCAGCATCAGCATCTTCAGGAAACTTGTTAGACAGGCACATTCTTGGGCCCCACCCAAGAAACTTTCTGCATCAGAAACTCTTGGGCGGGGGGGGCAGGGGGCAACTGTCTGCCTTAACAAGTCCTTAGGCGCCCTTGTGGTGAAGTGGTTAAGAGCATGGTGGCTAAGCAAAAGGTCAGCAGTTTTAATCCACTAGCCACTTCTTGGAAACCCTGCGGGGCAGTTCTACTCTGTCCTATAGGGTCGATATGAGTTGGAATCGACTTGACGGCAGTGGGTTTAGTTTTGGTTTTTTCAGGTGATTCTGGTGCACGCCAAAGTTTTTAAAGCACTGCTTTTTGCCATATGACAGATCTGTGAAAGCTCTGGTGATTCTCTGATTCCTTGTGAGGGAGAGTGCTGCAAACACTTTCACCTGGAGTGCCTGGGACTAACATTACTCCCTGATGGAAAGTTCATCTGCATGGAATGTCAAACTGGTGAGCTTACTTACTTGATAGATCTGAAAGATGGATCAAGAGGAATGTGCAACGCCAACATCTTCCATGACATCTGCTTCTCTTTTACTTTTGTCTAGTTTATTTATATTCTCTCATAGCTTATTTCGAAGGCGCTCTGGTGGCCTTGTGGTTAAGTGCTCTGCTACTAATGAAAGGTCGGCAGTTCAAACCCACCAGTTGCTCCTCGGGAGAGGTATGTGGCAGTCTGCTTCCGTAAAGATTTACAGCCTTGGAAACCCTATGGGGCGTTCTCCTCTGTCCTGTAGGGTCACTATGAGTTGGAATCAACTTGAGGACAATGGGTTTGGTTTTGGGTTATAGCTTATTTCAACAAATTAAGACCCATCAGTGATTAGAGGCTTCCCAATATCAAAAGAGTAGTTAGCAATATTGCCTTACCAATGCCTTTACCATAAAACTGACCAATTCATTGAGATGTATTTGTGTTTTATCTAGAAGGCTACACAAAGTATATGAATTATTTTTCAGATGAAAAATTTTTGAAATGTTTATGCTCATTAAATTAAAGTCCTTTGTAATAAACTGGAATAATTATCAGTCACAAACTATAACCATGGTGATTGTATTTTTAGTGGAAAGATGGAGCTACTGGAATTTTATTTTTAAACTTGAATCCAAAAGATTCACCATTTATTTCTTATCCTACCAAACATAGACTTTACCGTAATCATTATCCATTGCTGTCAAGTCAATTCTGACACACAGCAACCCTATAAGAGAGTAGAACTGCCCCATAGGGCTTCCTGGGGTGTAATCTTTATGGAAGCAGACTGACACATCTTTCTTCCGCAGAGCACTGGTGGGTTCGAATTACTGACCTTTCCGTTAGCAGCCAAACGCTTAACCACTGTCCCACCAGGGCTCTAAACATAGACTACCACCTATTCAAATAATGTATAGAGAAAGAACTATGCAAGTTTATCTTTCTTTTCTATGTAGCCATGGCTCTAGATAAAATTACGACAAGCAGAAAGTAGAGTTGTTTAATCTGTAACAAAGCAAATAAAAAATCAGCTGGAGATGGCATGGTAATGCTTTTAGGAACTGTGTTTGTGTTGTTTTAGTTTTATTTTAGCTATGAGGAACTAAAAGCCAATTGGATTTCAAGTATATATGATACACTGATCTTACTCTTGACTTACTATGTCATTTGACCCCCATAACATTATGAGATAGGTATTATAAATTACATTCTACAAAGGGGGAAACTGAGGATTAGAAAGTTCAGTACCTTGCGCAAAGTCACAAAGATAGCATATGTTGAAACTGGGATTTAAACCCAGGCAGCCCAGTTCTAGAGTCCTTGCTCTTTCTATTGCCTTCTACTGCCTTGGCTAAGTACTATGGAGATGATACATAATATACACTAATAAGCACACACACATATACATCACACACAAAACTAAACTATAAAAGCTATTTAGAACATATAACATTTTTTCCTGTATAAAATTATCATTTCATTCATCACATTTAGACTCTGCAGTGAAACTTTGGAGCCGTTTGCCAAATACCTGCACGTTGTTTTATTTGGCCCTCAGAGTGTATTTTGAACTTTTAAACATGGAGCAGGCACGTACTGTTGGTTCCCCATGTTACCTGTCGTTCCTTCTTTTCTAAAACCCTGTCGCTTATGCAACCCAGTCATTTATGCAACCTGCCTAGTCCCTTTAAGCATTTAAGATTGTAATTTCTGATTTAAACTATTGATGGGACCACAAATCTCAGTATTAAAACACTCTTAGGGCTTCTCTCCTAACTCCAGAATCCAGTAGAATCCTGTCAACAAAAGTTAGACATAATCTAATTTGATACACATCTATTAGGAAATGTAAGAGGGAAGTTTGTTTTAAAAACAAGTGCTTTTGATTTATTTATTTTCCCATTAAAACTAGTTTGATGCCAGTTTGGTACACTTCTAACATATTAAGGGTGAAAACTCAAATTCTCAAGCCATTGCTCAGGGTCATTTAGGCAGTTTTCCTTTGTTTATTAAACAGATAAACACTTTACACGTGAAAAGTCTTACAGGATATGTTCCTGATAAATTCCTGTAGTACCACTTTCTATTATTTACCACAAATGTGATTTCTGGCAGAAAGCATTTTCATTTGCCCTTTTGAATAAAATGTGTAATATTTTTAAAAAAGACTATAAAAGGGACCATAACAGGCAATTTTACTTTTTAATTACTTTTTCTTAATGAAGACCAGTTCCTAGTGAGAAGGGAGGGTGTTTGGAAACATTCACATGCTAGAGCTCTAAACATAATTCTTAAAGGGGTTTGCTGTTTTAGCTCTCTGTTAGTATAACAGTTTCACTATTATAACAATTTTCATTTATATTAAACTTATTTTGATTGTTATATCAGTGAAAGCCTATTTCATTTTTACATAGAGTAGATATAATTTTATCCATTCGGCAAAGCTGTAAAGTCAAACCTCCTGCTTTTAAAATAATTTTTTAAATTTCTAAGTTATTTTTAAAAAAATACTACTGCTTTTATTTCAACATACATGTTAAAATTAATTTAAAATTATATATATGCCACAGGACAATGATACAAAACTATTGTACTAAATATTTCTACAACAAAACCAGTTAAAAAAAAAAAATCATAGTTATCATTACTCATTTTAAAGAATATTTGTAATTCAGCCCATTTGTAAAGATTAGGTATTTCCAAAATCAAGGAACAACATTACAATTCTACTAACTTTCTGTTAAAAACAAAACAAAACCAAAGAAAACCTATTCCTTGTATTTTTCCCTCCCCTATTGAAAGACATTTGAGTTTCTTTCAGTTTTTTGCAGTTACAAACAATGCTCCAGTGAACATCATTTTACATGTATAAATCTAATGCAGATTATCAAGAAGTGGCATTTCTAGGCCACAGGAAGTGAATGTATTTTTCTTTTAATGAATACTGCCCAATTGCCTTCTTAGGTAGTTTCTTCCAACCTAAGTCCTACCAGCAGTACATGACAGCACCTGTCTCCCTACATCCTTAACAACAATTGGTGTTATCAGACTGTTTATGTTTTTGCCTATTTGATGAATTTTTTAAATAATACTTATTGTTTTAATTTACTTTTATCTGATTACTAGTGAAGTTGAGCTTTTTTTTCCCTGTTTTTATTGGCTATTTGTCTTTCTGCCTTCTCTGAGTTGCCTGTTCATACCATTTGCACATCTTTATATTAGGCTGCTCTTGTTTTATTTTCTATATTGATTTATAGTTCTTTGTCATCTTTTGTTATCTTTGCTTAGACATGCTATATGTATTTTCTCCATATGTGAACTTTTTTTATGACAAAACAATCTTTTGTCATCTTTGTTGCATATATTTTTCCACATCTGTTTATCTTTTATTTGTTCCTTCTTTTTTTCTTTTTAGTTCTGTTGACATTATTTCTTCCTTTAAACATTTGACAGAACTCACCTGTGGAGCCATCTGGTCTTGGAGTTTTCTTTGTTGAAAGTTTCAATTTCTTTAATAGTTTATAGAACTATTCATATTTTCTATTTATTTATTTATTTTTGCCAGTTTTGTTAAGTTGTATTTTTCTAGGAATCTATTCATTTATCTAAATTTTCAGATTAATGGCAGAAGTGTAGTGATTTTTTTTTATTAGCATTTGTAGGATTTATAGTGATATTCCATTTTTCATTTCTAATGTTGTTTATATTTCTGCTTTCTTTTCCCTCCTTTTTCAATTAGTCACTCTTAACTAGGGATATGGAGTTCCTGGGTGGCACAAATAGTTAAGCACTCAACTACTAGCCAAAAGGTTGGCAGTTCAAACCCACCCAGAGGCACCTTGGAAGACAGGCCTGGTGATCTGCTTCTGAAAGGTGACAGCCTTGAAAACCCTATGGAACAGTTCTACTCTGACACACGTGTGGTCACCATGAGTCAGAATTGACTCGGCAGCAACTAATAACAACAACAACAACAACCAGGGATATCAGTTTTATCACTCTCTTTTCAAGAAACCAACCTTTGGTTTGTTAATCCTCTCAACATATGTTGATTTCACTTCATTCTTGAAGAATAGTTTCACTGGGTATAGAATTCTGGCTTGGCAATTATTTTCTTTCAGCCCTCCAAAGATAGCATTCTGTTGTTTTCTGACTTCCATTTTTCTCTTTCTTGGCTCTCAGTGTCACTGTTGCTTCTTTGAAGTTAATAGTCTTTTCTGTGGGTACTTTTTTTAAAAAAGATTTTATGATTCTATTTACATGAAATGTCCAGAGACAGAAAGTAGATTAGTGATTGGCAGAGGTCGGGAGGAGGGGGAATGAGGAGTGACTGCTAATGGGTACACTGGGTGTACAAGGTTTCTATTTAGGATGATGAAAATGTTCTGGGATTTGATAGTGGTGATGGTTGCACAACTTTATGAATATAATAAAAAAAACCACTGTACGCTTTAAAGTGGCTAAAATGATGAATGTTAAGTGAATTTTATCTTGAAAAAACAAAAAAACAAAAAGAATCAGTGACTTATAAACTTTCCTGGTAGAGGTAGATTTTAAGAAATCGGGCGAAATCTGGTTAGGAGTAGGTTAGCTCACTCAGAAAAACACCCCTGTATTAGGCCAATATGCCATACCTGTGCCCAAGTGGTCAAGTCTGACTTGAAGAGCCATGCTCTCAACCATACCTGGCAGTGCCCCCAGGTTTTTGGTTTGGGTTGACCAGGTGGTGATGGTATCATTCCCTCACTCTGAGGAAACCAGGGCTCCAAACCAATTCATTCAGGTTTGAACCCTGCTAAGGATTTGCATTTCTACCCCAGGTATACTGAATCAGAATCTACATTTTAACAAGATTCCCCAGGTGATTCTTCTTTTGTTTTTTGACATTTTGTTGTGGTTTGGGTGAAAGTTTACAGAGCAAATTCGTTTCCCATTCAACCATTTATACATATTTTGTTTCATGACAGTAGTTGCAGTCCCCTCAATGTGACCGCACTCTACTCTGTGGAAACTTTTGATAATTTTTCTTTGTCCTTGATTTTCAACAGTTTAAATATGATATACCCAAAAAAAAAAAACCCATTGCCGTTGAGTCGATTTCGACCTATAGCGACCCTATAGGACAGAGTAGAACTGTCCCTTAGGGTTTCCAAGGAGTGCCTGGTGGATCAAACTGCTGACCTTGTGGTTAGCAGCTGAACTCTTAAACACTACACCGCCAGGGTTTCCAAATATGATATGCCTAGCTGTAATTTTCTGCCTTTTTATTAGGATTATGAGTTTTCATTTTGTGTCTTTTACATACAGAAATTGTAAGTGATTTTCTAATGGAATCTGTCTTTTCATTAGTTATTCTTTTACTTCTATGTTGGGAAGACCTCTCCACTAGCAGCTCCCAAGTGTTGAAAAATTCTGTTCTGGGTTTTCTATGCCATCAGTTTTGGTATAGAGTGACAAGTGGAGATTAAATTGTTTTCAGTGTTGTATGCCCAAACTGATAATCAGTTATTCTAGCAAAATTTATTAAATAGTCTTTTCATTTGATCATTTATTTTAGATTTTTTTTTTATGTTAAATTCATACATATACCAGTAGAGTGTATTTCGGGGGGTAGCTCTTTGATCTCAGTAGATGCTTCTATTTAAAAGGAATATGCTTTGATCAGATTTTATTTAATCTGTGCACCTCACCAATTTTCCAGGGCAGCACCCATGTTTTTCATGTAAAGTGTCTGGCACAGATGTGAAGCGTTGTTCTGTTGGTGCCTGTGGGAAATTTTATCATGAAACCTGTGTCCGCAAATTCCCCACTGCCATCTTTGAGTCAAAAGGATTCCGCTGTCCCCAGCACTGCTGCTCTGCCTGCTCCGTGGAGAAAGATATCTACAAAGCAAGTAAAGGTAAAAAGAGCTAAAGAAAGGGACAAAGCTTTTTTTAAGTGCAGTGGCAAATAATATATTAAGCACATTATTATAAAGAACAGTGGGCATTCTCCCTCTGTTTGTTCATTTGCACATATAATAGCTCAGCCACAGTAGATACCATATTAAGTCAGGGTTAGGGTCTAAATTCAGACCGTAGGAGAATATTTCATATTTCAAAATTACCCTTGAAAATCCTTTAGGCAGGTGACATACTTGAGGCCACCATCTCTCCAGCATTGGAGCAAACTTTTCTTTGGATGAGTATTTTGCTTGCATTTAGGTGCCATATAGCATAGGAATGACAGAGCTAGACTAGTAAAGAAACATGATTTTTATCTTACTATAACCAGCATTGTATGGGAACCCAGAAAAGCGCAACTCCAAAATACTTATTTCATATCCAGCTGATGCCTTATCATATAGAATTTTTTTTCACTTGCCTTTAAACAGGTCGCATGATGAGATGTCTAAGATGTCCAGTAGCCTATCACTCAGGAGATGCTTGCATTGCTGCCGGAAGCATATTTGTGTCCTCCTACATTCTCATCTGTAGTAATCACTCTAAACGGAGCAGTAATTCTTCCTCTGCTGTAAATGTAGGCTTTTGTTTCGTTTGTGCAAGAGGTGAGTGTCACTCCTTTCTCTTTATTTTTTTTCCGAGTTCATTGGCATACTTCCCCATTAAAATAGAGTCTCAGCCTTGGGAGAGAACTGAGGTCATCTAGTACAATCTCCACCCATTGCAGAATTCCATTTTATAACATCCCACTTCCTTGTATAGTGTCTTTTTAATAGACCTTATTTTTTAGAGCAGTTTTAGGTTTACTGAAAATTGTACAGAAAGTCATCTTGCAACCATGTGGTACATTTGTTACAGTTGATGAACGAATATTGATTGCACATCATTTTTAATTAAAGCCCATAGTTTACATTAGGGTTCACTCTTTGTATTGTATAGTTTTATGGTTTTGATAAATGCATAATGCCATGTGTCCACTGGCATTATCATACAGAATAATAGTTTCACTGCCATAAAATGCCCTTGTCTCTACTTATTCTTCCCACTCCCCCGAACTCATAGTAATAGTCCCTTTTTATAGTCTGTTTATAACATTAGACATCCAAATTGTCAGAATATTAATTCTTCTGTAAGTGAAACTAAAATCTAAATTTTTTTTTTTTTTTTGGTAACTTAGAATTGTAGATAAGTTCTTAGTTTTTCTATTTGGAGCATCAAAGAGTTAATTACCTTCTCTGCAAACAATTCTTCTATTAGAACTAGAGCCATCATCCCATGTCAGAATCTTTAATCCACAGCTTTCATCTGATTGAGATTTCACTTGAAAGGCAGGACTAGCACATTTATTTTTCAATTGTTTATGTTGTATTTTATCATAATGTTTTGGTCTGGCATTAAGAGAGCCCTGATGGGACACAGCCAAGGCAGCATATGTCGTGGTGTTAGTTAAGAGCCAGCAATACAGGCTTTCTTACTTGCCAGCTGTTGATACTGAAGTGTGCCAAGAGATTGATCTGGCCTTCATATTAACTAACAATACTGTGTCCCTAAGGGGGTCAGTGAACTTGAGTTCATGATAAATAGAAACTAGAACTACTTTAGCTGAGTATGATACAGGGTATCCAGCTTTATCACAACTGTTACAGTATTATAAAACATTGTTAGTATTAAGCATTTTAGAAACCAACTAATATTATTCCCAAATGCATTTTTTTTTTTTTAATTTAAATGGTTCTCAGTTTTTTTTTAACTTCCCTTCTTGTGACATACTTGAAAGGACTCTAAAGCATATCAGACCCGTTAGCCTATACTGTACTGAAGATGAAGGGTTTTTTGGGTCTTGGCTTTTGGTGTTTCTTTTTGTTTTGCTTTAAGAGAGAGTTCTTTTATTTGGTGAAAGTACTATGAAATCTTTTTTAATAAAGAGTTTTGATAGTATGATGGATCTTAGGTTGTTTTGCTTTTGTGTATCTCTTTTTTTAAAATAACTTAGAAGAGGCGGCAGTAAAAGATTAAATAAATAGTGAGTCCTGTATGAAGCAGCCAGCTGGGTCCATTGTACACACTGCTTTCAGTGTGCCAGAGTTTTGTAAGCACATTGGGCTGTCTGCCATTAGAGGGAGAAGCATAGTGTCTTTCTTTACTAGAGCAATTACAACTGTATCCTGCTTTGAAACGTTGATGGTAAGTGGAGGGAAAAAAAACCAGTGCCATTGAGTTGACTCCAACTCACAGCGACCCTCTAAGACAGGGCATAACTGCCCCATAGGGTTTCCAAGTAGCAAATGGTGGATTTGAACTGCTGGCCCTTTGGTTAACAGCCAAACGCTTAACCACTGCCACCAGAGCTCCGGTACATGGAGGAGTAGGTCTGAAATGTTTCGTGCCACATTGCTCTTACAGGTGATAGAAAGGAATTAGCTAGGCAAAAGAAATAAAAAGGCATCAGTAGTTTCTTTTCCATCTCCCCATTCCTAAGAAAATAATGCTAGGAAGGAAATACTGAATTATCAAATTAACTTTAGAGACTTTTCAACAAATTAATGGCAGTGAATAACTTAGTCTCTATCACTTTATGAACTCTTTCTATTCTACCATTTCTAGGCACTTATTTTTACTGGCAGTATATAAGTACATATTACTGGGTCAACATTTTAAATACCAAGTTCATAACTATCATATTGGCTTCCCCTGGGGTACATTCTGAATCAAGTACCATCAGTGTATTAACCAAGACTTTTCTTCTGTTTCATTCAGTCATTGAGAAACCTATAAAACAATTACTTTCAGGTATTTTCCATTTTGGACTGGTAGAAAATGGTCTATCTGGCAAGGACCTTGTCTTTTATAAAACTCTAGCCATTTTGTTAAATTTAACTTATATGCCTTGATTAAAAGTTTGAGAATAATAAAAATGGGGGGAAAATCCATGTTTTGGCAACAGAATCTATATTGCTTTTTATCAATTTGGCAATTATTCTGAAAGATTTATCGTATTTAAGTGCAAATTTTAAGCAAGATTATTTAATTTCCAAATATTTTAACTGTGCAACTTTATGCAGTAAACAGAAACCTTCATTTTTCTTTCCAACATTCAAAAAACTTATTCTAAACAATCAGATGCTGGGATTTGAGAAGGCTTAACTCTAAAAGTTTTTCATAAGTAAACATATTCTTTTATCAGTATTTATAGAGGCCACCCTTGATTTTTTTTTTTTTTTTTTTTTTGACTTCACCTTTTTAAAGAGATGTAACTGTAGTAAATCCACATACAAAAAGAGACACTTCAATCTTGTATGTTTTGGTGTTTGAAAACTTAACTTGTTTTGAGTTTGCTTCTTGCCTCATACAGAGTGTTTTTCTCCTCATAGACAGTGGTTATCAGTTGTTTACAATTATTATCAGTTGTTTACAATTATTAAGCTAGTCTTAAGGACTGGAAATGGTTAAGAGCTACGGCTGCTAACCAAAAGGATGGCAGTTCGAATCCACCAGGCACTCCTTAAAAACCCTATGGGGGCAGTTCTACTCTGTCCTATAGGGTTGCTATGAGTAGGAATCGACTCGACGGCAATGGGTTTGGTTTGGTTTTGGTTTTAAGGACTGAAATTGTCTAGAAATGTTTTCAGAAAGGTTTAGAGGACCATTATTCCTCTCCCTACCCCCTTAGCTAACTCTTGGTGCCGTAGGAAATGTTCAGACATTTTTCAGTGTTTTAGATATGTTCTTTAGCATTTCCTTTCATCTAGAGGGTGGTATAAACTAAAAGTAATGGTAATTACCATTTCTTTGCAATGGTAATTTAAAATGGAGACGATAGGTTAGGGTTTTTTTTTCATTTTATTAGTAATAATAATTTATTTTGCATGTGTAAATCAAACTATAGTAGACACTTTATCTAAACAAATTGCCACAATTGCCCTAAGAAGTTTTACACGGATGCCCATTTTATATGGATGAGAACACTGAAGCCCAGATTAAACAATTTAACTGAAGTCACATAAATTGTAAGTGAAGAACAGCATTTGTACCTGCTCTTTCTTATTTTCAAGCCCATGTTTTTTACACAACACTGCCTCCTTCTGTTAAATGTATAAAACTCATTTTGACATTGCCTGACTTTTGTTTGAAGATTATGTCATTTGCAATTTCAAGTTCTATTCTGTCATCTGGGTCAACGATATTTCTTGAATCTGTCTCAGTGTAGGATAGCACTAAACAAAAATAATACCCACAGAAAAAAGTAAATGGTAACCCATTTAAAAACAAAACTCCTCTCTCACCTCAAAATGATCTCTAAATGAAACTGCTGTCATGATTTGCATTGTGAAATCCTAGGTCATTATAAACTGACCCATAACAAAGATAGAAACATTTTCCTTGGTCTCACAGTTCCCTAGGTTAAGGAGTGAACTTAACTGGGGGCTGGGGAGTGGGAGGAGAAAGGAGAGTCACAGGTTGTAGCACATTTGTGTTTTTCTTCAAATGGGATAGCTGTATTGGTAGATCAAAAGGACTGTTTTTATAAACCCTTAAGTTGGTAATCACTTTATGTCATGGCAGGAAAAATTTTAAATGGTTTGCATTTCCTCAGTAAAGTTTAACAAATTATAACTTCTTTAAAATCATGTATCATATTGATATAGTTTTCATTATCAGGCAGAGAAAGCTAACATTTATTTGAGTATATTTCAAGATATAAATGGAGGAAAGGAGAGACTCAGTTCTGCCTTTTAAGTGCTACTTAATATGTCCAAGGTGTATCAGGGCCCACTGTGTTATGTAAATGATTTGTATTTCTAGTTAATCAAGTGATGTGTCATTTGATTTTTAGGTTGTCATAATAGTATTTCTAAATATTAAGGAATGTAGCTTTGTTTTCCTTGGGGGACTGTCGGTGTGATGTCAATGCAGTTTACATCTTCAAATTAATTTAGGGTTTTCTTCTGAGATATACAGGTTCCTGTACAGGATAAAAAGGAGTCCTGGTGGTGCAGTGGTTAAAGCGCTTGGCTGCTAACCAAAAGGTCGTTGGTTCGAATGCACCACCTGCTCCACAGGAGAAAGCTGTGGTAGTCTGCTTCCATAAAGGTTACAGCCTTGGAAACCCTGTGGGGTAGTTCTACTCTGTCCTATAGGTTTGCTATGAATCAGAATCGAGGGCAATGAGTTCGGGTTTTTTTTTTTTTTTTTTTGGTATATAGGGATAGGCATTGAGCAGCCCAAACTCCCCTTAATAACTGTAGAAAGCCTTTTCTTTCAGATCTTTCTTTTTCTTCATGGTCTCTTCCCCACCCCCAACTTTAAAGCATAGCTACATAATAGGTGTTGGTTTATTTTTTCCCCTCATGGAATCATGGGTAGTTTCATTGCAGCTCACCTCTTTCTGTTTGTTTCGTATAGGGCTGATAGTTCAGGACCATTCAGACCCCATGTTCAGTTCATATGCCTATAAGTCCCACTACCTACTGAATGAATCAAATCGTGCTGAGTTGATGAAATTACCTATGATTCCTTCTTCGTCAGCTTCCAAAAAGAAATGTGAGAAAGGTAATAATCAAAATAGTTTCTCTCTTGCTTTTATTTTTGCATTTCCTTTTTTTTTTCCTTTTTCTTTTCTTTCTTTCTTTAAAAAAGGGGGAAAATGTATGCCTGTCAAGCACCATCTGTTGCTTTTGGTAAATTCTGCCTTGGTTGTAACTGTGTCTTCATATGGCTGGCAAAGTTATTTAAAAGGGCTTAAAATAATTCCATTGTTACAAATTTTTACCTACTCTTCTCCTTGATAAATTCTCATACATTTCATATATCTGTGGGTTATTCAAATTGAAAGACTAGGATTTTGTTTAATATAGAAGAATATTCTAAGGGCCCTTTCTCTTTTTGCCTGATACAGAACTACCATTCATGTTAGAATAGAATAGAATAGACGAGAGTGTGATTTATTACTAACTTTCAACTAAATAACAAGATAGGTTATTAAATAGGAGGAAACCAAGATACTGATATGTAAAAGTTTGATTTTACAATACATTTTATTATTTATTTCTTAAATGTTGTACTTAAGAAAGATGCTATTAAAACTAGTTGTCCTTGTCTTAGGAGACATTGGTAGCAGCTGGGGAGGGTCCCCCAAATACTTGATGTTGGAAGGCAGCCCAAATGAATCAAAGAATTGCTTATGGATAGTTTATCCACAGAGAATTAAGAGCTTAATGTATTTTTATATTCTTCCAGTTAATTTAATCTATGGAAGAAAACCTTATCTTGTGTTTAGCTTTACATAGCCCACTTATAATAAAAGAAAAAGGTGGTTTAGCGGTCATGTATTATTTGGGGAGTTACTATCCCAGGGTGTAAAATAAATGAGCTTGAAAGGTGAAGGCCTTTTCCTGTATACATTGCCATTGTGGTCTGGGGCCAGTTTCAGAATCTTTAAAGAAAAATTCATTCATACCTGGATGTACCATGTCTGTATAGCAGATATATGTGAAATGGGCTTTTTTGTTTCATTCTTTGTGTTGCCTGCTTGATGGCGTCTCTGATCTTTGTCAGACATCTGAGGTGGCAACCCAAGACTAAAAGAAAGTATAACTAAGCATGTGGATTAGAACCTATGGAGAAGTAGATTGTGGAGAGTATTATTTTTTGTTTTTCCATTGAAGTCAGGTTATATATCACCTTATTGGTGATACCACCTACATCCAAAACAAAGATGGACATAGATCTGACTTACTCAATAATGCAATAAAATTAGACTACCCAAGGCATTTATAAAATGCTTTCCTTTCCTGCCTGTGCCTTTATACAATTAGATTAATTTCACTGTTGCTTACTTCGTTTTCAGTACTCAGTATTGGCCTTGACATGAATTGAAATTATTTTGAGCCCTCTGTTTGCTTAGCTTGAACCATATCTTACTTCTCTTGCATCCTAAAGCAGTTTTCTTGTGTAGCACCAAGGTGGATCGTTCATGTTTTTAATTTTTTTCTATTTCCCTCATGTATTTTTGACATCTTTATTGTGATTCTGACTGATGATTTTGGGTCTGTATTTCCTCTGAATTAAGACTTAAAATTAATGACTATTACAGAATGTTAAAAATGGCCAGCCTAACTTTCCCTTTTCAGCTCTTCTGGGCATTATCATATGGTCTCTAAAGCTGTTCACAATGGAAACAGCTGTTTTCAATGGAAAGATGAATTATCTCATTTTACTTTAAACTTGCAGAAGAATTCCCTACCTAGGCTTAGAGCACTCAGGCAGCTAATCTCTAGGTTGGAGAATTGGACCAATTAATCCACACTGAGATCTGCAGACAAAGGAAAAAATCCCAATGGTTGAAGTAAAAGCTTTTAAGCAGAGGAAATATAGTAATTTAACTCATCACTGATTATAAATGGTTTTTTTTTTTTTTAATAATATGTTAATCAGTTAGAAGTTTGAAAGTGTATGGGAAGACAACATCTTCTGGGAAATTGATAGCAAACACTTAAATGTTTGGAGTATGTGATTTGATACAGTCATATAGAGGGCCCTTAACCTTTTGCTTATGAGACTTTAAATCTGTGTACACTCATGGTTTTGTAGACCTGATTTTCCAGTGGAAAGATGATTTTTTTTTTTTTTGGCAGCAAATGTCTTTATTATATTTCATTTTCAGTGGTTAACAACCTTCTTTTTCATTGCCTGTATTGAAATACGTATCAAAAATACTTAACTCCTTTTCCCCCAAAGACATCTTTTCTTTCTTTGCATTAAAAAAATATATATTATTTTGATTTGTTTGCCACACCTGTTTTGGTCTTAATCCAGAGATCATTTTGTGTATTTAAAAGCAGAGGGTTTTGCTAGGGAGCTGGGAAGGAACTTCTTGCGGGTGGTACTGCATTCTACACTGGTATTTACTTGGTGTGTGCTATAAAGCAGTGGTTCTCAAAATCAGAAAAGACTGATGTGATCAAAATTTTTGAACTGTGTTTAATATTTCTGAAAACCTAACAGGATCACACATTTGCATAAAATATGGCTGCATGAGTTTCTTTGTATTTGGCTATGACTTTTAACAATTTAATGTGTTAATCCTAGTTTTGTTATGGTGACCAGGAGCTCTAATTGGCAGTTACATATTTCTTCAGTTAGTAAAAAAAAAAAAATTGTTACTTTTAAGATGCAGTTTTTTTGATTGATAAAATATTTGAAAACATGTGGATCCATGAGGAAGGGAAAGGGGATCCTTGGTGATGAACAAGTTGCAAACCACTGCTGTATAGCCTGTTTGACTTTATCTTCACTGAAAAGGTAATGATGCTGTAACCACCAATTCAACAAAGTACAGTCCCTCTTGCTTTTTTGTATGGGAAGAAAAAAAGAACTGATCAACCTATTGCCTGTTTTCATTCTTGCTAATTTTATTGCAAAGGGATTTAGTTAACTGTAGCAGTGGATTAAAATACAAAGATGACCTATTGCTTTCTGTTGAACTCTGAAGGAGAGAAGAAAGTTGCGACACATTTCTTTGAAAGATCTGCTCTCAGATCTACTCAGTCTAACGATTATATGTGCCCATTTTGTTATATGTTAAGGGTTTTACCTGCTTGTTAACCTGATACCTCAATAGCCCACATTTTAGAGGGATAAAGAGTACAGTGACGTTTTTGGTACTTTGTAAAAGCTTTGAGTTTCTGGCTGCTGAAGCCCTCAAAGGGGACTGAAGTAGATAAATCTGTCCCTTTGCTTTCTATTTTAATCCATCACTATAGACATGACTCAACCCCTTTGTTATTTTCCCCCAATTTGAGTCAAATTTAATGCACCTAAAAGATAACTTACTCTTTTTTCTTTTTCTCTTTCCTCTTTTCTCAGTTATTAAGACTGTTTATTTGTTTCAAGGTGGAAGATTGCTATGCTGTGAATCGTGCCCAGCTTCCTTCCACCCGGAGTGCCTGAGCATAGACATGCCAGAAGGCTGCTGGAATTGTGATGACTGTAAAGCTGGCAAGAAGCTACATTACAAGCAGATTGTTTGGGTCAAATTGGGAAATTACAGGCAAGTTTTTCCAAGGACAAAGAAGTATTCCATCATTGTTCAGACACAGGTTCAGAGTCTATGTATGAAGTGGTAGGAGACAGGTAGAGCAGCACAAAGCTAAAAAAAACAAAACCCACGGCCATCAAGTCGACTCCAACTCATAGCAACCCTATCGGAAAGAGTAGAACTGCCCCGTAGGGTTTCCAAGGCTGCAAATCTTTATGGAAGCAGACTGCCACATCTTTCTCCCAAGGAGCAGCTGATGGGTTCAAACCCCAACCTTTTGTTTTGCAGCCGAGTGCTTTAACCACTGTGCCACCAGGGCTCCCTAGCACGGTGCTACTTTCTTAAAAAAGAAAGAAAAAACAGTGGGTGATTTGGAAGGTTTGATTGCTGTTGTTTGGTTTTTTTTTCTTTTTTTGATTGGTTGGTTGACTTTTATTTTTAAGTTCTGAAAGTTTACACTAATGAACTTAGGTACTTCAGGTAGGGTCGTTACGCGTCAGAATGGACTCGACGGCAGCGGGTGTTATGTAGACAGTGCAGAAAATGTTTTCTTTGGGTCTTAATTCGATTTATATCGATTTCTGATTTCTAATAAAATCAAAAGACTTTATATCCTAGCCAAGAAGTATTTGGGTTAATAACTCTCTTTGCCCTTGAATCTGTTCCATTTTAGTTCTAGCTAGAAGCCCTAAGCTGTGTGTAAGAAAAGATAGTATTTAATTAAGAGCCTTTAGTTCTTAAGGGAATGAAGTGAGAAGTATGGGTGATTGCCATTATTTTAATAAAACTTTCTCCCTTTAAGCAGCCTGTTTTTAACAAGCCTTCACTGAACAGGTATATCGATATATTTTAAAAACTCTCCACTCTACCTTTTGAGGCATATGTTCATCATTTTACTAAGAAAATAGATACTATTCAAGACAGCACAATAAAATTCTGCTTCTTGATTAGAATCCTAAGTAAAATACATTTCCGTAGAATTTTAAGCATATTGTCATTTTTTAGCAAGGGCTATGTTGTTTTCTCTAATTTGGCTAAGTAAGAAATGAGCACATGCTTTAAATATGCTGCTAGCTTACCTATTTAATTTTAAAAACTTGAGGGGCATTGAGGTTTTAGAAGACCTTGTTTAAAAAACACTTATGACAGGAAATCTCCAAGTTCTAAAGGAAAAGATTGACAGTTTGAATACACAAACAATTTTATACTGTTAGGCAAAAGACACCATAAAGTTTTAAAAGGCAGATGCCAAACTGGGGTGAAATCATTGCTCTTCTGCATTCAATAAGAAAAGACAAATACCTCACTAGAAAAATGGGTAAAGAAGAGAAAGAGCCAGTTTGCAAAAGAATAGCAAGTAGAAAATAAACATGGGAAAAATGCTCAGCCACACTAAAAATAAATGCACATTAAAACAGAGCTTTCTTTTTCAATTAACAGATTGGCAGAGGTTTAAAAGATTAATAATTTTTTTGCATTTGGTGCGGGCATAGGGAATGAGTACTCACTGGAAGCCAGTCTGGCATCATGTTTCAAAATTCTAACTCTGTATAGCCTTTCACCCAGCACTTCTACTTCAAGGAACTTGTCAAAGGGAAAACAATTGGATAAGCAGGCAAAATTGTGTTTATAAGGATGTTCACTGTAGTATTTTTATAATTGCAAAATTTGAAATACACCAAAATACTTAGTCAGCAGGGGATTTGTCAAATAGATTATGGTGTATCCATGAGTTGGAATCGACTCAGTGGCAGCTAACAACATCTGTATTGTAGAATACCTTGAAGCCAATAAAAGGATAAGGCAGGTCTGTGTAGTAACATAGGAAGATATCTGTGATATATAGTTGTTTAAAAGGACTACGAAACAATATACACAATATGTTCCCATGTGTTTATACAACAACAACGTAGAACTAGATAAAATGTGTTTTTAATACCCGGAAAGAAATATATCTAATGTATTTCTTAGATGTAATGAGATTACAAGTGAAGACATTTCTTGCTTTTTCTGTTATACATTTCTACTGTACTTTAGTTTTTGAAAGAAATATTTTCTGCTTAATTTAAATGTATCTCTTTCTGGGGTGGGGAGGGGTGTGCAGGGTTTGACAATAGATAAGACATCGCTGGGTAAGAAATGTCTAAGACAGTGTGGGAGGCCTTTAGATCTTTAAATAAATTTCAGAGTATTTCTATGAGTATGAAAGTCTTTGATTTAATTTAAATACTTAGATTTTAATCGTATTACATTTTCAAGAGGCCCAAACCAATATTCCAATTCAGATTGCAGCCAATGTGATTTTATATCTAGGTCAGATTCTCCTTGTATGTTTCCATCCATGAACTAACTCTTAATGTATTTCTTTCCAGTCAGGCCCAGCTGGGCCGCATGAAGTTGTTTATTTTCAATAGCTAATTACTCTCCACTGTGAACCCTGCTGGGGGGAAATTTGAGGACCTGGAACAACCTCTGGGAGAAAATGTGCCCCTTGCTAACTGACCCTAGTGAACGCAGTAATCATGTACACATTTATACCTTCAAATGGTTTGAGAAATAAATAGAGTAACCATTTCCTAGCCTTCTCTGAGGGTAAACCAAATACTGACCACGTGAAATAATGTTTTCTTTTATTTTAACAGTTTGAGCCTGGACTCTTACCCATGTTTTTAATTAATTCCTTGATGTAGAGCAGAGTACCTTTCAGATGAAGCTTATTCAGATTCTGCACTATAAATCTGGGAGTGCAGCCACATCATTGTTTATCATCTAAATAATATAATATTTGTTAATATGTGGTTATTAGACATATGTAAAATAAAAGACTGAAAAAATTTAAGTTCTGTGCATTTAGTGTTCATATCGATAATTTTATATACTACAAAAGCCCATGTGAGGATCACTGCGAGGCTGGCTCACTTTATGACCTTTAGCTTTAGCCTTCAATTCCTGACTTCCCTGATAGCTGGAGACTATCAAATGCTGCTTACAGATGGTTTCATTTAGTGATGGCTGGGGTATTCGGTCATCATAGCATGAAACAGTTACATTTTCATTCTGTCCCAAATCCCACGTTTGATTTAAAATGAATTAAATTTGGAAATACATAATGGTATAAAACCTAGAACATTTGACCAAAAGGTGTTTGCCTTGGTGGATTAGAGATTCAGAAAATGCTAATTTGATTGGGAGTGGTCATTCTTTACTGTGGCATCAGATAACTCCCAAAATGATTCTCTTGACTACTAGAAATTAACTTTTACCTTGAAAGATAATCTTGGTATATTTAAGTATGTCGAGCTTGAGAAAAAACATGACTTTTCTAAAATTGCCATCAGGTTTGGAATAGCACTGGTAATATTCTAATTCTTAAGTTGGGTGGTGGGTTCAGTGTTTTTATTATTATGCTTTATAACTTATACTTACATGATATATCATTTTGTAAATATAAAATATTAATTTTTTAAAAGAAATTGGATTGGGTGTTAGGGCCTAGTTTGGTTAGTCTGTGCTGGCTGTCTCATTAATGTTTTTAAGCGTGTGGTTTGGGCAGGATGTGAACCTAAATGAAATTTGCAGGGTACAGCCTTTTTTCCCTCCTGCCATCCTGGTAAAGAATAGTGTGGTTTTCCATCATCTTAGTCTAAAATTGCTTTTGTTTTCAGATGGTGGCCAGCAGAGACCTGCAACCCCAGGTCTGTGCCACTGAACATCCAGGGCCTTAAACATGACTTGGGGGACTTCCCTGTGTTCTTCTTTGGTTCTCATGACTACTATTGGGTACACCAGGGCAGAGTGTTCCCTTATGTTGAAGGAGACAAAAGCTTTGCTGAGGGACAGACTAGTATTAACAAGACATTCAAAAAAGGTAAGTTGGATGATGTTTACAGTGACTCAAAACTAAGACTCCAGTGTTGATTTTTCAGCATCTCCCCACTTGCATATGACATATTTCTGGCATTAGAATATTTCACAGTGTTATGATTCAGCATATGTAAGCTTCCAGTCACATTGGAACCAGTTTTAAAAATACATTTCAGTATAATAAAATGGTGCTATGTGTGTGAGAGGAATTTCTTCAATGATCTTTCTACAGAGATTATTCTGGAAATAATCTTCTTCATCAGGTGAAGCTCTTTTGCCACAAAAGAATAGTGAAATAGCTTTCATAGTGAGTTGACAGGAAGTTTTGGCTTTCTGGGTAAAGGTAAAATGAATTTCAAGCTAGTACAAGATTTAAAAAAAAAAAAAAACTGCTGTTAGGTTCACTTGGAAGACTCTGATCATTCTCTGAGGCAGCAGCTTGCACAGAGCAGTGTTCAGCCATAAATCCTGTTTCAATGTTACCCTAAGTTGGTGATAAACGATGATGGCCAGAATACAGTTTTAAAAAGGAAATCTCAGGCCAGAGGCAGTGCAGTGGAAAGGCAATGTAAAGCTACTCTCCTAAGAGTTTTTGTTTGCTTGTTTTTTGGTATTTATATGCTTTGCTTGGTCTTATCGGCAGCACTGGAAGAAGCTGCAAAACGTTTCCAGGAGTTGAAAGCACAAAGAGAAAGTAAAGAAGCACTAGAGATTGAAAAAAATTCAAGAAAACCCCCTCCTTACAAACACATCAAAGTGAGTCCTTTCCCATGAAAACATTGATATTTGATGTGAAAGATGAAATGTATTACTTTATTAGTTGGGAGTCGCTTTTTGACTTGTGAGAACGTTTGCTAATTACCATCCACTGTACTGTATAACAAACTGAGAGCCTTTGTTGGAGGCATCCAGTGGGAGCCATAGCTCTTTGCTATGCTGTGAGCGTCAGGGCTTCGACAAGCCCTCTCCTACCTCGGAGGGACATGTCTGATGTGAAATCCTGTTCACTCTACCAGGTCATCCTGCGACCAGATGATTACATAGGTATTTAGCCCCCCACTTCCAGAGAGCCACAGACAAGCATGTTTTGTCTTGTTTTTAGTTATGAAATTTCCATCAGCTAGTGGAAGGAGATATACATAGGATAGATAAATGAGAATTCACATCAGGTTTTGATGTTTTTGTCAACTAAGGAGAGGCAGTAATTATTCGTAGCTTATGCACGGGGAAATGAAGACAGAGGGCCTTTCTCAGAGACACCACATGGATGTTTTTGATCTGTTCAAATTGCTAATAGATGATGTACTTACCTTCTGCTGCCCTCTCATTAGTGGATTTGTTTTCTAGGCTAACAAAGTCGTAGGAAAGGTGCAGATCCAGGTTGCTGACCTGTCAGAGATTCCCCGCTGCAACTGCAAACCAGCCGATGAAAACCCCTGTGGCCTGGAATCTGAGTGCCTGAACAGAATGCTGCAGTACGAGTGCCACCCACAGGTGTGCCCTGCCGGGGATCGTTGCCAGAACCAGTGCTTTACCAAGAGGCTCTACCCCGATGCAGAGATCATCAAAACAGAGCAAAGAGGCTGGGGCCTCAGGACCAAAAGGAGCATTAAGAAGGTAGCATTTGGGGGCTGAAGGGGAATGAATAGGCCAGGACCTCTGCCTTTTAGGGGTGCTTCAGTAAGGTATAATTCTAAGATAAAATACATAGGGATTTATGGCAAATTTTTGAAACATCCCACATTGAGAGTTTGGTGCTCCTTGAGCAAAGTAGAAGTGGTAGGAAGAAAATGTACATAAACTTTGTCCTGTGATGAGTCATAAAAAGGAGAAGGAGCATTGGTAAGTTCCTGTTTGAAATATTTTTTACTTGTTAAGTGAAATAGATGTAAAATACTTTAGTAAAAGCAAAATAGTAAAATTAAGAAAGTTCTGCAATAGGAACTAGCTGTAGCATCATAATTCATTAGCCACGAAACCATGGCCAAGTCACTTAGCCTCCCTGAACCTTAAGAGTTTCATCTTTATAGTGGACACAGTAAGCCCTGCCCTACATATATATATATTTTTAATTGAACTTTAGGTGAAGGTTTACAGAACAAACTAACTTCTTATTAAATAGTTAGTACATATATATTGTTTTATGTCATTGGTTAACAACCCCATGACATGTCAGTCCTCTCCTTTCTCGACCTTGGGTTCCTTATTACCAACTTTCCTGTCCCCTCCTGCCTTCTAATCCTTGCCCCTGGGCTGGTGTGCCCCTTTAGTCTTTTGTCCTATGGGTCTGTCTAATCTTTGGCTAAAAGGTGAACCTCCGGAGTGACTTCATTACTGGGCTAAAAGGGTGTCCGGGGGCCATACTCTCGGGGTGTCTCCAGTCTCTGTCACCTGCCCTACATATTTTGAAAGTCGCCGTGAGTCTCAAATTGTTACATATGGGGGAAAAACTGGAAAAAGTTAAGATCTTTAACACTCGTAAATTATCTTCATGTTTATGCTTTGAGGCAGTTTTTCAAAGCATTCTCTTTGCTTAACACAAGAAATACTTGTTCATTATAGAAAAAGTTTAAATGCAAATAGCTTTAAAAAAAAAATGAAAATCACCAGTAAATCCTACTCAAACAGTGACTGTCAAACTGTAGAATGTGTGAGAATCCCCTGTGGCCCTTCTTAAAAACAGTGTCTTACTGAATTAGAGTATCTGGGATGGGCCTGGAATCTGTATTTTAAAACAAGGCCCTCTCCAACCGCACCCCTCCCTGCCTAGTACCATCTCCTATACAGAACTTGGGGATGTATTCACTGAGAGAATATGGACCTAGTAGGAATTTAAAATTACTCTTGGCATTTTTCCACCTTTTAAAAAATCACCTTTATAATTTAAAAAATACCATCTGAATATAGTAAAGAAAAGTCAAACAATACAGAAAAGATAGTAAAGAGTGAAATTCCTCCTTCATCCCTTCAATTCTTGGTCTCCTCACTAGAAATAACCCTTGTTAATAGTTTGGGATGTAACCTTTTAGAGCTTTTTCTGTGCAGTTATAAGTACAAATACGTATTCATATATATACTGTATTTGTAGGGTTTTTAAAATATAAATATGATCATACATCTTATTCTTTTTTCCCTCCCACTTAATATATCATAAATACATTTCTATGGCAATACATATAGATTTCACCTCATTCTTTTTGACAGTCTCACAATGTATTCTATGGGAAGATGTACCCTAATTTATTGAACTCTTCCTTAATAAATGGACACACACACACAGAGCTTTCAATTCTGTAATGAACATTACACACACACACACACAGAGTTTTCAGTTCTGTAATGAACATTACACACACACACACACACACAGTTTTCAATTCTGTAATGAACGTTCTTGGTCATCTGTCTTTCTGTACCTATTCTATAGGTTAGATTGCTCGAAATTCATTCATTCATTCAGTACATATTTATTAAGTTTCTTTTATGTGTCAGGTACTATTCTAGGTACTTGGAAAACAATAGAGAAAACAAAAGACATATAAAGCCTTTACCTTTGTGAATCTGCTGGATAATGTATAATGTAAACAGATACATAATGTTAAATACCATGAAATGCTGCAAAGAAAAATAAGCTGTAAAAGGGAATAGCTGGTGGCAGGAATTGCTATTTTAGATTGGTTGGCCAAGGAACGCCTGAGGAGGCGATGGTTGACCTGCATGTGTGAGGGAACAAGCCATGCAAAGATATACAGAAGAGCATTGCAGACTGGAAGAAGAGCAGATACAGAGGTCTTAGCATACGTACTCTAGGGACAGCAAGAAAGCTAGTGCGCCTAGAGGAGAGTGGGCACCGAGAGAAGTGGTAGGTAGGACATGAGGTGAGGGGAGTAGTCAAGGGCTAGATCATATGGGGCCTTATAGGCCATGGAATGGGAAGCTTCTGGGACACTTTAGTAGGGAGTGACTTGATCTGACTTGGTGTATTAGTTTTCTGTTGCTGCATAACAATATTACCACAAACCTAGCAATGTAAAACACACATTGTGTTTTCTCACAGTTTCTATGGGTCAGGACCTGACAAGGCTTAACTGGGTCCTCTGCTCACGGTCTCACTAGGTTGCAGTCACGGTGTTGAGCAGGACTGGGTTCTTGCATGGTTCTTGGCACAATTCTTTGTGCTTCAGCGTTTTTTTGGCTGGCTATTGACCAGAAGCAGCTCTCAGCTTCTAAAGGCCATCCATAGCTCCTGGCCACATGGAGTTCCCCAGCATGGCCACTTGCTTCCTTACAGCCAACAAGGCTAGAGGAGAGAGACCAGCAAAACGGACACTAAAATCTTATGTAACCAAATCACATACTCACATACACCCCGTCACCTTTGCCATGTTCCGTTGGTTAGAAACAAGCCACAGGTCCTGCTCACATGCAAGAGCAAGGGATCGCACAGCGGCATGAACACCAGGAGGCCGGGATGGTGAGGGCCACCTTAAGAGTGTCTGCCATGCTTCGGTTTCAAGTGTAGCTCTTTGGCTATAGTGTGGAGAATTTAAGCTAAGCCAGAAAGAGTGATGAAAAAGATACCATTAGAGTAGTCCAGGAGAGAGAGAATGGTGGTTTGGATCACTAGAGCTGTAGATGAGCAGAGAGAGAAGTGGTTGGATTGCTGATATTTTGAAGGTAGAGCCAGTAGGATTTGCTGATGGATTAGATATGTGGATTGGGTTGCTTGGACAAAGGCCATCTACATTTAAAGTGCTACGTAATGTAAAAATGTTGATATTACTTTAATGCCATGCGTGTAACACATACAAATTTGTACCTATGATTTTTTTTTTGGGGGGGAGGGGAGCTGTATGAGACCATCGTAAAACCCACCCAGTTTCATATTGTGTTCCAAAAAACCAAACCCACTGCCGTCAAGTGGATATTGATTCATAGCGACCCTATAGGACAGAGCAGAACTGCCCCATAGGGTTTCCAAGGCTGTAAATCTTTACAGAAGCAGACTGCCACATCTTTCTCCAGCTGGTGGTTACCAACCACCGACTTTTTGGTTAGCAGCCGAGCACTTTAACCACTGTGCCACCAGGGCTCTTTCTAATATTAACATCCTTTAATAATAGTTGTGTTTATTGTGAAATGTATTCTGAAATAATTTATTAAGTTAATAATATGATCAAGAGAAAAGCAAATACAATCTGGATTATTCTGCCCTTTTGCACTTGAGAGATTGCTAATGTAAGGCAATTGGTCTTTTACAAAATAGCTAGAAATATAGTCATTGAAAAGCGTAATCATAAAGACTTCATAGCAACATGGAAAAGATTTTTGGTATAGTCAAGGGGAGAAAGTCAAACATGAAATTGAATGTACACAGTCCTTTTCTTTTCACACATAACAGATTCCTGAAAACATGTGCTAGAGTCAAACAAGAGACTTCCTGTTATGAAGTGGTTCCTTTCTCAGAAATGAAAAAAAAATTAAATACACTAAAGTACACCCTGCTTTTAGCCGCAGTCATTAAGGACAGATTTCCAGCATTTTAAAAAGTTCTTTATTTTATTATTTTTTTCACAGTTGAATTCACAGTTAATGGTTTTAAGTTCAGTAAGCAGCTCTTTGAGGCTAAAGATTTGTCAGTTTTAGGACATCTAAAATATTTGCATCTTTACTCACAATAATATGAAATTTATGAGAGAGTACTTCTCGTGTCTGATATCAGTACTTTAATTTTTCTTTATTTACTTCTTTTATAAAATAGTATTTGGTTGATGCTCTGCTCTGTGTGGTTGTTGTGTGCCGGCGAGTGGATTCTGACTCACAGCAACCCTACAGGACAGAGTGGAACTGCCCCACAGGGTTTCTCAGGCTGTAATCTCTATGAGAACAGATCGCCAGGTCTTTTCTCCTGAGGAGCTGCTGGTGGGTTGCAGCCTCCCACCTTTGGTTAGCAGCCGAGTGCTTAACCATTTTGCCATCAGGGCTTCTTCTCGGCTCTCTAGGTTTCCATTAAAGCAACGGTGCCATAAATTAGTTAAGTATGGTAACACTAGGTGGTAATGCCCCCAAGATGACAATGCAGTCTTCTTTTACCCTCAAGAGCAGTGCCACCATATAATTGTATAATGTCAGAGTCCAAAATGGATGTATGAAAAGTCATTTAAGGCTGACAGTGCACAATACACAAACGTGTAGAACTGCCAATGTCCTTCATGAGAAAGGACTGGAAGGAAAAAGTGGAGAAAATAAACCACTCTTATGTCATGGCAGTTTTAGATAAAATGTTTTTCATTTTCTAACCTAATTCTTTGTGATAGCTCTTAAAATAAATACAAATGGGGAGAGAGAAAAAACTAGAGGTCATCTTTTACGGTGGCCCCTCCCCACCTGAAACAAGTCTGTAGCTCCTTAAAGCTGACTGGTGTTTTTCACTGATCTCGCTAACGACAGACTGCCGAGGGAGAGGACTGATGCGTGGGAGGTTAGGGTGGTTCCTTCCAACTTGATCCTTTCCAATTTCTTCTCCCTTGCAACAGAAATAGCAGTATTTTATTTTTATCAGTAGAAAAAACATAAATATTTTTAAGAACATTGGCTATGTTCTTAATGGTTTACTAAAATCAGAAAATAGGATATAATATTTTTCTTTAAGTTACTGATATTAATTACCAACAGAAGGGCCAGTGAAAATTTGTGTGTGGGGAGGGAGCAAAAGTCTGGTAAAACAATAAGCTCATATATTTTTATTTGTTTCTTGAGACATTTATTCTTAAGTGTATTAGTAAGACTGATGAGTCCCGTAGATAATGCTGTTGTCCTAAATTGAGTCAACTGTTTTTTTAGGAGAAAGGGTTAACGTCTATAAGTATATAATCACCTTGTGACCCAGTAAACACACTTGTAACCATTTATGCCAGAGAAATGAACACTTACATCCACACAAAGCTCTTGTACAAATGTTGATCGCAGCTTTATTTATAACGGCTAAACCCTGGGAACAGTCCCTCCCAAAGTCCTTCAGTGGGTGAATGGCTAAACTGTGGTACATCTATACTGTAGGATACTACTCAGCAATAAAAAATAAATGAACTGTCAATACACACAACTTGGATGGATCTCAAGGAATTATACTGAGATTTTGTTTAATCCAATCTCAAAGGTTACATACTGTATAATTCCATTTATATAATATTCTCAAAATGACAGTATTCTAAAGATGGGGAACAGATTGTTGGTAGCCAAGGATTAGGGACAGGACAGTGAAGGAGCAGCACAGGGGTCTCTGCTGATGGAACAGTGCAGCAGCTTAATTGTGGTGGCGGTTACACAAATCTACACATGATAAAATTGCATGGAGCTATGGGTTCGGCATTTTTTTTTTTATACATGCACTCTTACACAAATTAGTGCGTGTAAAATTAGTGAAATCTGAGTAAGTCTGCAGATGGTACCAATGTCAGTTTCCTAGTTTCGATGTTGTATTGTAGTTATGTGAGATGTCACCATCGGGGAGACTAGGTGAAGAGTACATGAACTTTCTCTGTACTATTTTGCAACTTCCTGTGAATATCTGTAACTAGTTGAAAATAAAATATTTTTTAAAAAATAGAACTAGTTTCAGATTCAGATCTTTTCCAGGTCTACAAACTAGTAAAAGTCTGTTATAATACAGCTTCGAAAGCTGGAGTTAGCCTTATCCCCAGGTCCCAGTAATTCCCCACCAGGGTATCACTTGGAAATATTGAAGTAGCATTGACAGCAAGAAAAGGCAAGCAGATTAGCATCTTTTGATGCATTTGCACGAGAAAAACAGTGCCACTTGAGTGCCCGTGAATTAAAAAAACCATTGTTTCTAGGGTTGGAAGTTACACTTTCAGGATTCTTTTTCTGTTAATTTTCTCGGATTTCACATGTTGTTAAGAAATGCTTTGCAGTATAATGCATTGATTTTACATTTCTGTGTCATATGCCTTTCTGCAGGGTGAATTTGTAAATGAGTATGTTGGTGAATTAATTGATGAAGAAGAATGCAGATTGCGAATCAAACGAGCCCACGAGAACAGCGTAACTAATTTTTATATGTTAACTGTTACCAAGGTAAAATTGCTTTTCTTTTTCCCTCTCTTTCTTTTTTTTTTTATAAGACAAAAGGATATATTTTTTTAAATTTGTTTCATGTTTTTAGGTCAAACTCAGTTTCCTCTAATTTGGTTTCTTTCAGGCAAATTATAATTGTTTATAGTAGCCAGTATGCTACCTGCTAGTTTGTTGCTGTTGGGTGCCCTCGAGTCGAACCCTATTCCTAGTGACCCCATGTGACAGAATAGAACTGCCTGTAGGGTTTCCTAGGCTGTAATCTTTACAGGAGCAGATCACCAGGCCTTTTCTCCCTTGGATTCGAATTGCCAACCTTTCCTTTATCAGCTGAGTGCTTAACCATTACACCACCAGGGCCCTTTGCTACCTAGTGTAGCGTGCTAAATACCAGAGTACAGAATGAATCACCGTTGAAGTCTTGCACGTGCCCTGTGAGGCAGCATCTGGAGTGAAAAGATAACCAGGAATAGGGTTAACATATCCGGAGTTTAGTCTCAGCTCACTGGGAATAGGGTGAACATATGTGGAGTTTAGTCTCAGTTCACCAGGAATAGGGTGAACATATCCGGAGTTTAGTCTCAGCTCACCGGGAATAGGATGAACATATCCGGAGTTTAGTCTCAGCTCTTATTCACTAAGAGATCTGGACCTTAGTTTTTTTTTATCGCTAAAGGAGATAATCAGCTCCGTGATTTAGTTATAAACCACCATTAGAGTTTTGTTGTAGCAAAAATTCTAAATTGTTCTGTATACTTGTTTTTTAAAAAATGAGTTAGGAAAATAATAAGCACTGTTGTTGAAAAATGACAGAAAAATATAGTAAAGGTGCTGTTTTAATATGTGTAAGACCTATTTGATGTGCATTATATCCATTATCTCATTTAATTTCTTCAACAGTCCTCTGATTTACAGGGGACAAGAAACGGGTCCAGTAACGATAAGTGATTTGCTGGCTATCCTATTACAGTTTAATGAAGAGCTGAGACTAGTACTCATGTTTCCTGTGTCCAAGGCTATCTCTAGACTGAGAGTCAAAATATCATTAAAAGTAAGAAATAGAGATCATTTAAAAGAAGTATTATTTCAACTGATGTTTCATTATTTGAAAGTTTTTTTTTTACGACTTCATTAACATAAATGAAAATGTCGTTATTGATGATTGCCGGAATCTGGCTCCCTCCATCCTGTCCTTGCTGCAGTGGCCCTTCCAGGCCTCTTGATAACACTCAGGACTCTCCATCCTCTGGAGCTGGTCCAGACTATCAGAGTCCAAACTCAGGGGGCCTCCGTGCTCAGCCTTTTACTGCACCAGTGAAAACAGTGCAAATAGATGGCTACTGGAGAGAGATTCCACACTATAGCCCTCCCATCAATCACATCTCCGAGTCTTCTTTTAGGGTGTGTGGGGTGGGGGAGTGGTTCTCTTTTTGCCTTCTTCCCACTTTGTGGCCTAAACTCTCATCTGTCTACCCCATACTAGTTTTGCTTCCTGTTCAGAGCTGGGGAGGAGAGCTAACAACAAAACACCATAGTTCCCATTCCCGGTAGCTATCTGAACTTGGAGTTGTCTAATCAGAAAATACCCTTCCTAAACCCACAGCCAGCTAATCTTCTAAGGACATTATTCTGTGGTCTGTTTGTTTCTCGAAATGAACTTAAAAAGAAACGAAATTCCTCCTTATCTAAATTACTTTGACTTAGAGGTCATCCAGTGAAGAGCTTGGTAAATGGCACAGGGAGCACGACCTTTTCAGAGCTGTCAGTTGTCAGACATCAGCGGGGAGCAAAATGCTGCTGCCTTGTGACCCTTGACTAAATTCTTAGAATGTTTCATTTAGTTTTATGCCAAAGGTATCTTTCTTTTCTTTCCGAAGGACCGTATAATTGATGCTGGCCCAAAAGGAAATTATTCTCGCTTTATGAACCACAGTTGTAATCCAAACTGTGAGACACAAAAGTGGACAGTGAATGGAGATGTTCGAGTTGGACTTTTTGCTCTTTGTGATATTCCTGCAGGTAAACACTGCACCTTGCTCCCCGACCCCCTCTCCCTAGGAAGAAAGTATGTCCTTTGAAGACAGGGCATTGTTTTTTAAGGCTCGATGTGTGAGTATTTATTCAGATATGATAAAGAGTTATGATATTTAGAGTTGAGTGTTATCTGCCAATAAGAGGTAAAAATCTGTAACCTACAGAAGGGAGCTTAGGAAGATCCTTTGTGTAAGAGAGGATGTTACAGGATTCTGTGTGTCTACAATCCTATTGAATTAATTCTCCAAACTATTGCTGTCCATGTAATGTAACCAGACGTTTAAGCTTTTGTCTTCTTTTTTTAAAAATATTTAAAGTAATTAGCCTGTGTTAACACTAATTTCTTTTCATTTTTACTTTGAGAGATCAGTCTGCTTCAAATTATACATAAAAAGCCTCTGAAACCAGATCTGTTGCTTTCATTTTTCCTTACCCATCCAGCATTTCAACAGCCCAACTTAGTTTCTCCTTTGTTAAGTTTATAGAAAATGGGTAAGAAGGGAAATGCTGTAGCTAAAACAGATTTAAAATGTGCTTCTAGAATTTACTGTGGATCGTTCAAGGCCAGCTAAAAGAAAGCTTGGGAGGCCCTAATGTGAATCCCTAGATCTTTGATGTATGTAGTAAACTTCCATTGTGAAACTCTTGTCTGTTCAAAATATAAAGCATTAATTACTAGAAATAGTATTGTTTTTATAATTCTGTGGTTGGATTGTTCATTTAGAAGCTGGTGTAAATTAGCTTTGGAAAAGAGGGCTAAACTAGAACCCAGTATGAGCATAGACTGCAGATTCTTTGTTCCTCTTCCATTGTTTTCAACCACTTCTGTGAAAAGGAGATGACTTCTCTTTACAATATTTATTTTCACTGTAATCATTGGAGGCGGAGGTGTTCCCCCCCTTTATTCTTTTTTTTTCCATCACTGTCTTCAGTGTGTTGGAACATGAGGAAGGGAAGAGTATTCATTACAGAAATACGTCTTTTTCATTAGGAGAGTGTGTCTGTAGCAGCATTTCTCTGCCCCGTGACTTGAGGAGGAATAATTATTTTTCTTATGTTTTAGGGATGGAATTAACATTTAATTATAACTTGGACTGTCTGGGCAATGGCAGAACAGAGTGCCACTGTGGGGCGGCTAACTGCAGCGGCTTCCTAGGAGTTCGGCCCAAGGTCAGTCACGCAGCGCCCCGGGCCAGCAGGGGATGAGGGGAGGGTGTTTCTGACTCAGAAAAGGCAGGCAGACGGGGACCTGGGTTAGTTTGCAGGACATCAGTTGTATTACCAGAAGCTTAGACTATCTGACTTTTGTCTTTCTAAGGTCTATGAGGTTCTGAAAATGCATTTGTATTTCTGGTTGAATTTAAAATTAACAAATTCCCCTTCAAAAACAACAACAACAAATCACTGGATGGTACATATTAAAATGATGAGTTTTATGGTCTGTGAATTATATCTCAATGAAAAAATAATTCAGAGGTTGTCTAAGTGTTAATGGGTTAAAGCTGCTTGTGTTCACCAGCATCCCTGTGATTTAAAAAATAGTACCCTACTCAAAAGCCAATGAAAACAAAGCCTTATTTTTATTGTTGTTACGGGATGAGTTGTCCTGATTTACTTAGGTAACTGAGCAACAGATGAATTGAAATGCATGTGAGGTTGTAGGGTTTTCCTTTCTATGTAAAGCTGCATACACAGCCCGTGACCATTCAAACTGGGCCTTTTTCTCTGCCAGTCGGCGTGTGCATCAACAACTGAAGAGAAGGCAAGAAACGCTAAGTTAAAGCAGAAGAGGCGAAAAATCAAAACAGAACCAAAGCAGATGCATGAAGATTACTGTTTCCAGTGTGGAGATGGTGGAGAGCTGGTCATGTGTGACAAAAAAGACTGTCCCAAAGCATACCACCTCATATGCCTTAACCTGACTCAGCCTCCCTATGGTAAGCGAGAATTTCAAGACCCTTTCTCTGACCTGCATCTTTGCCAACTATTTGTAACTCAGAAGATAGTCTGCTGTCTCTAGAAGGCCCATGGAATAGGAAGGGTTGAGTAGAATGAGAAAACAAAAATTTTACTAATGAAAAATCTGTCTCCTTACAAATTCAGGATATCTTGTGGAACAGCAAGGATTGTTTTTCTTTTTTTTAACACAGTTTTTTTTGTTGTTTATTGTTGTAGTTTAAATGAAGTTTGTATTTCAAGTTAGTCTCCCATACAAAAATTTATACATACA